ATACAATTGGAATTTTTCTTTTTACATGTTATGTCAATCCAGGACATAGATGATCATTGCTCTCCACAGATTCTTTTTCTTTATTATTTGTGTATTACCTTGACTTCTTGAGAGAGATAGTGAAATGGTTTCCTGTTGTTTTCTCCATGGTTTGGAATTCAGTTTTCCTTCTTTTAGACTGAGTGCCACCCAAATCGAGAGAGACTGATCTACCCTACTATTTAACTGATACTCTCTGAGTGAATAGACTGATTCACATGCATTTGTGTGAAAGTGAACACAGGGATGATTGCAATAGAAGTTAAAAAATAACTTTGACTGCAGAATTTAAGAGCTTTGAAGTATAAAGAATAGAAGATTTAGATAAGTTCTATAATGCATTATTTACCATTTAGGCCTACAGGTGAAGAATCTGAAAGGGCATTTTCAGTAATCAGGTGCTACCTCAAAAAAGTAAGACCAAATCTTAAAAAATAAAAATCACTGAATAGTCTTTCTTAAAATTTGTTTTTCAAAATGAAAAATAATTTGAAATATTTTTGATTTCTGTTAAAAGGTTTTTATTTTTCTTGAATTAAAAAAAAATGTCTTAATTTTAATGCCTTATATCAAGTACTATTTTATTATTACTAGTAATGAATAATAAAAAAAAAAAATGTTAAAAAATTAAAATTTCAGGCACACTAGGTTATATATTACTATTTTTGTTTTATTTAATTTAGGCTCCTCACCTAGTTTTGGCCAGCATGGCCATCATCAGGAGAAAAAAATCCCTGCTTGTTAATAGCAGTGAAAACTGCAGTGATGAATGACTGTCTTGGAAGAAACTTAAAGTGATTATAGACAATGGTTTACTGGAAGCAACCAGAATAAACTTTAATCTTAAATTGACCTCCATCCAAAAAATAATTTTGGTAAGACTTTGGTGAGAATGTATTGGAATGCTCCACTTTTGAGTTGCGATCAGTCAATATAATGATTACAGCAGTTAGTATTTACCCATTACTTAAAATGGGAAAGCAGTCCAGTGGGATTAGTCACAAAAGTGTATAATTTCATCATGTTAATGCAGCTATAAGACCTCAGCAATAAAAAAAAAAAAAAATTCCTCTTCCTCCTTATTCTCCAGTTCTTGTTCCATCTGAGTGCCATTTATTTCAGAAATTACAAGAACCATCTTGATGAACTAGTTCTTAAAATACATGAACAGTTGGAAACTACCCTCTTTACATTCTTTTTTCTTTTTTCTTACCAAACCCAAATTTACTATATAAAGAGTATAAAAAAATCATTGCTTATGTGGTGTAAACTACAGGATTGTAATGTTGCCACTTTCTGTTGGGTTAAGGTCCTGCAGGTCCTTCTAACAACTACACCATCAGTCGTGCATAAGTCAGTTGATAATAAATCTCACAAACACTAAACCTACCATAGCTGGTCCAAAGTCCAGTTGAGAAAATGGCGATGGGTGTTAATCATTAGATTTTAAATGTCAATTAATGCCACTTAATTAGCATAATTGATAATTTTAATAATTTTTGCTGAAACAAGAGCAAATGGAAATTAAATCATAGAAATTGAAATATTTTTTTTATATGTGAAAATATGTATTAAATAAATGGAAGAAATATAAAAAGTATAATAACTATATTTTTAAGATGTTTTTAGATACCTTAAATCTACAATATATAGCAGAACTAATTGTAATTAACCAGTTTACTCATAAAACCTGACAGAATATTTTATTAAGTTTATCCCTTTATTAGTTTTTCCATGTGTGAGTCTAAGTGTTCTAGTTTACTCATGCCATCAAGAAAATGATGGAATATTTTAAGTCGCTATAATGCTCACTAAATTTTGACAATGTGGTTATAAATTCTTTTTATATAAACATGAAATTTAAAAAAATCTTTATCAACAGAAACATTGCTTATATTCAATTTTTAAATTTGAATTAAAAATAACATGAAATATTTATTAAAATATGCTTTGAAAAATTGTTATGCAAACTAAATGTTACTACCGATGTTATAAATGTGACATGCTAATAATTTATATAAAAGACTAATCTCAAAGTATATTATCTGTGTGCTGTGCTTAATCTAGTATTTGCAAGTGGATTTTATGACACTGCTCCATCAAAAGAACACTGGTATAGTGGACATGTCACTTGCCTCGTTATTCACAGGTCAGGGCAGTAGTCACTTGTATATCTTTTGGGGTTATTTCAGCAAAAAGTAAGTCATTAAACTATAAGTAGATCCATCATGCTTTATAATTACTCGCTTCTTTGCAAAGGAAACAAAAAAGGGTTTTGTTTTTTTTTTTTCTTTTCATAAAATTCATCACAAAATATACCATTTTATTTCTTTAGATTTCTCTCTCTCTCTCTCTCGAATAGAGCCATTGTTTTACATGATGTCATTCAAGTTACAGATGGCAAATTGTTTTGCTTTTCTCTCTACAAGCTGGTCTCTTTGTCCACATTGTGTATTTTAAGATTTGAGGAGGTCTTTTGATAGATGTCAATTTTGTACCACTAAGAATTTTAAGTATTTTTAATTTTACAGAAAAATCCTTCCTTAATAATTTCATGCTATATGCTTTTTTCCATTTTGTGATAAAAATATTTTTGCTGTTACCTCAGCTATTTTTATTTTAAAAATATTAACAAATAATAAAATAAAAAAATAAACTGGGTATATTTTTAGATCTTTAAATTTTGTTCATTCTTGTTTGTCCATAAAAAATTAAAATTGAACTTTTAATGGTCATATTTAAAGTATTGCTATAAACTTACTAAAGAAAACTAAAATGCATTTTGAATAATTCAAATTTCTCCTTTGAAGTGAAATTTTGTTTTTATTTGAAAGATAACAGCTAGTTTCTGAAAAAAAAAAAAAAAAAAAAAAAAAAATTAATATAAATATGTATTTAAATAAGATTTTAACTTTCTAGGACATTTTTAAAACATTACAACGGTCACTCACTAAACTTCCATTCTTGATGACAAATGAAAATAACGAATTTAAAAATCTCTAAAAAATCTAGTATTTGTCTTTGTTTCAAAGTAAATTACTGAAATTAAGCAATAACTGACTGGATTTTGGAAAAATAATACTTTTTGCTTAAAACATAGTGAAAATAATGTTTATTTATACATGGTAACCCATGAGCTACCATATCGACATTTAAATTATGAGCCTTCTAATGTCAGCACTCAAAAATGGTATTAAGCTTTTTTTCAAGTTTTAAAAAATATCTTCATTTAATAGAAAAATTCCTTATTGGTTGAATTTCAGTTTTGGAATGAAAAATTACAAATATATTCTTTAAAAATAGATATACAATGTATTTTTTTTGTCAAATGGGAAAAAATATTTTAAATTATGCATGTACAAACTCTCAACCAAAATGTTTTTAGTTTTAAGTTATTTTTTTGGTATGGTTCATGATGAACTTTCATATGTTGAATTTGAATATATATCTTTTACTCAAGTAACATTGTCAGGGATTTTTCTTTTATGTAAGTGTAAAAAAAAATTTTCTTCACTATCGATCAACCTCAAACATGCTCAAGTGCAACCAGACTACAACTTGGCTGGAAGAAAAATCAGTAACTAAGCAACAATCAGTTGGTATGTCAAGAAAGCATGCAAAACACCTGTAATCAACACATGCAACTTTTCATGTAGAGGAAAGGATTTCTAAAAATGATAGGCCAAAAAAGAAAACAGTCCAGCTACTGCTAAGAAAGAGAGAATCATTAACTGTCGTCATCAAGCGATGGTTGTCCTGTGAAGTCTATTAAAGAAGTACAAATAATGTCAAGCAGTGGCTTGGAAACATTGAAAGATCAACTTAGGTATCAAAATCAACATCAGTGGAAATAAATCTCAACAATTATTTGATAACAGAAAAATCAGTTGATTCATTTCCACATAAGAAAAAGAAAGAAGGAAAACACTCAGTGATTCTGAGTATTTTAACAACTCTAGCAGTTGTGATGAAAAACCATCTCAGGTGTCCTTCAGTTATGAGCTCGAAAGCCAAATAAGTTGTAGTATATCTCCTTTCAGTGCTGTGGTAAAGTATTTAACTCCAACAAAGAGCAGAAATGATTATTTCTGATGGCTTTTGTCGGATGATATTGCATAAAGTATTTGTTTGTTTTATTTTTGTAAAACAAATTTTTAAGTTTTATAATCAGACATCATTTTGTCATTACTGCCCTGATTCCGATGAGATGAAAATTATATAATTTGACAAAATAAGATACATCTATTACAAAAAATAATGATTTACAGTGAAAAGAGCCATTCTGTTGAATTGCTCATCCCAAAATTAGTAAAGTTTCAGCAGAATAAACATTTTCTGTCTTCCATATATGAAGACAAATTTAAAGATCCTCATGCTCCATTAATATTTTTTTTTTCCAGGAAGCAAAAAAAGGTTTGGATATTCATAAAGTTTTGATATGTGTATTGAGTTGGAAACAGTTCCTGTACAACTTTTATTAACAATGATATACAAAGTTATGTGGGAACTTTATTCCCAGCCTAATAATATGTATGAAATAGTTTTTATGAATCTCTGATGACTACTGTAATTTCCACCAGTTTTTGTCTTCTTTCAATGCATCCTCAGATGGCATTTAAAATTAATATCCAACATGTCCATAACATTCTGGAGGAAAAGTTAAACTTCAAATGGACCTATTTTGACATTTTTTAAAATGGTCCATATCAATTTGTATTGCTTACAGACATACATTCATAAATATGTAAGCAGCTTAGAAAGATTGTGAATTTGTTTGAAATGTAAACCTATTTTAAGTTGAAGCATTTCTTTTGGTAGTTTCAAGTGTTCATTCTCAATTATTGATTCTTTTAAAAACATCTATGAAAAAAAAGAAGATTTTGTGAATTATCAGCATATACCTTTATTTGAGTCTAGATAGTTTATTTGTATATTTATCAGATTTTTTTCTCTTTGTTCAGTATTTCATCCTCCTGCTCCACGTTTGGCAGAACCTGGGGAAATCCGCGAAGAATATGAGAGGGCTCTTCAAAAGGTATGTGCCTTGTTAGCCTGTATTTTAAAATATTTTTTTATAAGTAGTAACATACAGAATTAGGCTGCTATATGTTTCATTGAATGTGAGGGACAAGGAAAATTTTATCAGGGTGTTTTTTTGTTTTTTTTTCCAGTTTTTTCTTTGATGTACATTAAGAGAATGTAGAAATTCTCCATAATGATTATTGTCCCAAGTGTTTTCAGTTAGTGATTTATCTTGTTAGTATTTTTGTTTGTATTCCAATCACTAAAAAAAAAAAATTTATCCTTGTCTATTACATTCAGTAAAATGTGTATGAAAGAACATTACTGCCTAGTTTTTAAGGTATGTGATATTTATGGGAGAAAAGTGCTCAATATCAGAGGCATAATATGCGTGGACATAGGTATCAACATGGGATAGCAACAGTCTGTTTCCTGCTTAAATTGCAATTAGCCTGATGATTATGTTTAAGCATAAAGCTCAATCACCATCCAATATTGATAACTATGTCCATATTGATGGTGTTTGTGCTCAGGGTGGCCACTAGTTAGAGACATCAGGGATTTCAGGTGGTCAGGGACAAATCCGGAATATATCAGGGATTTTGTAAATTTTTCTCAAGTCATATATTTGGGATGTTATGCAGTTTGGTCATAAAAGAATTTGAAAATTTGTTGAATGTTAAGACATGGTATATATGAAGTGCACTGGTTTGATTTTCTACTTAATGATTTTACTCCGTAAGACAGCTTGACCCCCAAATACTTGTTCTGATTTGTTTAAAGACATGGTGTTCTATCTTAATAGGGGGAAACCCACAGTGTCTTGAATTTTAGTTTTTATTCTGGGTCTTGGTGCATAGCCCAGACCCCTTCCTTTCTCACTTCTCTGAAAATAACACAGTATTTTTTATTTTGATAGATCATGGAAAAACACATTTTACAGTCCTGCCTGGGAGGACCCACCTCAGTATCCTGACTTTGCAAATTGGGTTGGGAGAGGTAACGACAGTTAACACTTCACATGTATAGTTTCTTAAATAGAACCTTTTAAGCTCAATAATATTAGTGCACATTGCAGGCAAAATACGAAGACGACAAATGAAGGTCAGAAAAATAAAACTCAAAAGAATATGGAAACCTTCATCAAGAATGCCAAAGTGCAGCCCAAAATTATATTTACCTCAATAAACTTGTTATCTTCAGCCAGTTCAGTTAACAAAGTTGATGTAGTTGACTAATCAGGTGATTAGTTAATTAACTCATTATAAAGCCAACAGTTATGCAGGTTACCCTTCCTGTGAAAACTGCGGATGTCCAGCAGGCTAAAAAAAAAAAAAAAATTCATAAAATTTGTTGTTGCACACATTCCTCAGCAAAGTTCAGATGTTTTTCTTGTCCTACCAAGAGAAATGTTTAAAGGCAGTGACATTGATGCTAAAATGATGCCAGTTGAACAAACTAATATATTGATGCCTTGATTGATGCTCTGTGGAGTCAAGGATAGTCCTAAGATATGAGTTTTAATCAAAAACTATATCATTAAACTGCTTTCTCTATGTCCTTTGGGATTTTTCCTTGTTGTGACCTTATATCTAACATTGATGATAGACCATTTTACCATTATCATTTGGTGTATTTCTCAGTCAAGGATATGTCAGGGAATTTTATGCATGAGTGGCCACCCTGGTGTTATTGAACATATAGGTTTCTATGGTGTATTGAAAATATATATTTTATTTTTGCAAGATTTTTAAAATGGAGAACTTTTATTTACAAATATCTTCAAAATGGCTGAATTTGCAGATTTTTACTGAAAACAAAAATGAAAATCAATTCCAATTAATATAAATTCAGTTTGAAATACACCAAAGTAATTTGCTTACTGGGTATAGTAAATTTAATCCTTTTGCTTTGAATTAAACCTAAAATGAAAACTTCAAGAAAGATTTTTCATTTTTAAAAAATAGGTATTGTTTTTTTTTTTTTTGTTTTTTTTTGTGAATTTTTATATATATATATATATATATATATATATAGATGCAAGACGAATCAAGTTCTCCGGTCACTGGCAGGTTTATCTAAAAATAAATACATCTAAATTCCCCTTCATCCCTGCCATGCACCAATGGCTTAGGGGTAAAATCTGATACCAAATCAGTCGGGTTTTGATCATGGCTTGAAGCAATCGAGGTCTAGCCACATTGATGAGCTGTAAAACAGCAAAACAGTCTGTCTGTGGATGACATATATATATATATATATATATATATATATATATATATATATATATGTGTGTGTGTGTGTGGACATCCAATTGCTTCAAGCCATGATCAAAACCTGACTGATTTGGTATCAGTCGGAGATTTTACCCCAAGCCATTGGTGCAACGGCAGGATGAAGGTGAATTTAGATGTATTTATTTTTAGACAAACATGCCAGTGATCAGAGAACCTGATTCGTCTTGACAAAGATTCTTGCATCAAATTTTATATATATATATATATATATATATATATATATATATATATATATATATATATATATATATATATATATATGTGGGTTTGTTTCATTAAAAACAACAGACAAAGTACTACAGTTAAGCATTTTATTTAATTTTTCTTGTGTTCACACAAGAGCTTTCTTTTTTTGGACACAGAGTGTGTAGAAACTGTCCAAATGTTCTATAGTTTTGAGCACTTTCGGCTATACTTTTAGCCATTATCAAGGATGATTTTATTTTTTCAATTTGAGTGTGTGTGTTATGTGTATGCTTTTAGTGTGTTATAGAGATTTTTTATTTTCAAAACACGGTTAGCACATTGTGGCCTAGTCCATAGTTAATATTGTTAAGAGTTGGCCTTTTCTTTTTAATTATTAGGGCTTCTATTATTTTTAATCTTTTTTTTTACAGGTGGATGAGATTATGTTTGTGTTTTCTACTAGCATGTTTTGAATGGAGTCTTGTAGGTTTGTGTGTGTTTAAATGGATTCTAATGGATCTTTGTAACAGATACAAAACTGATGTGGGCACAGTTAGAAAATGAGTAATGCATTTCATCAGAAGTGACATCAATATGTGATTAGCTACACAGTTGTCAACCAGTGAAGAGAAGATCTTTTTGTTTTTTTATAGCCAACAGTGGTGATGTGGGAAAATGAGTGTTTTCTAACTGAAGACTTGCTCTACTTGCTGGTGCTATTATTCTCCCTGTTGCAGTTTCTCTGGAAATAATTGCTGGATTTGAATTTTTGTTCTAATTGTTAATAAGCCCACTTGCAGTTCAGGCTCAACAAACAAATTTTTTTTTTTTTTTTTGCTTTACCATTGATGTTTGCCAAGCAGAAAAAATCTCACACAATATAACAAGTTAAAAAAAAAAAAATAATAATATTGATGTTGCCTTTGATGAGATACCAAACTTATTTAAAAGTGACATTTTTATTTGAATTTAACTTGAATTTTTGATCACACTGTAATTCTGCTTGGTGTTCTTTCTCTCTTTTTGGTGAGTGATATTTTTATCTTGCTTATACAATCTGGATTTATTCAAATGGAAATGTTCTGTTAATAATTCCAAATAAATTATGATTAATGCAATTAACAATTAAGAATGTTCCCAACTCTAATCTTGAATTAAGGGAGGAAATATTTCAAAACAAGGTGAGTATGCATTGAAAATGCTGGTTTTATTTACATATAAATTATTCAGATATAAATTTGAGTCTAAATTTATTTATAAATGCACTAGCAGGCTTTGCCTGCTCGCTATCGCTTTGCAAAGTAAGATATATTCACTAATTGAAATCTTTGAAACAAAAATTTTAAATGAACATTTCATTCATAAATTGGCTTGTTATAGTTAAGGAAAGTTTTACAAATAGATGCCAACTTGTTGAAGGCCAAGTAAAATGCAAATTTCAAACACTTTTCTGCATTATATAAGACAATATTCCTAAACAGAACTATTTTTGATATGAAAATCAAAAAATTCTCAAATAAAAGAACAGTAACGAATCGGTATGCAAATTAGTTAAACCTGAAGAGTGATACTGCTTACAAGTAGATAATATATAAGAAATATTGAGCTTTTAGTGTGTAAACTGCTCTTTGAAGTGGTTTCTAACACATCTATTCATCATCTCTCAGTTGCATCTCTGTCTTTGGGCAGAGTGCCATCAGGGGTGGCTCCATCGAAGAACAGTCGAAACTGAGGAAAATTATACTGAGAGGTGCCCAGCCCTGGGGAACAGCTACCCGAGGCTGTGCCCTCTCATTGCACCAGAGAGAGGAATCTGTGCTTGCACTGAGGTCAGCCCAACCGACGGTTGTTGGGGCTGTGGGCAATTTTTGTTCCTGGCGCAGGTGTACGCGCTCAGGTCCCCACCTTAAAAAAGACCTTGTGTCACAAATTGTCTTAGTGGGGAGACAGAGTAAATACCTAGTGTGTAAATTCCTCTCTCTCGAGTGGTATACACATTCTGGTACTTATCGGTGACAGGGATCCGTCCCTGCACTGGTTGTATCACAGCTATGACTAGTTTGGACTAGCACTGACCAGCTTGGACAAGTTCTGACCAGCTGCCCAAGTGAAAACACTCTGGTCCCCACATTAAAAACTGACCTTGTGTCACAACTCTTCTTAGTGGGGAAACAGTAAATACCTAGTATGAAAATTACTTTCTCTCAAGTAGTTTGTAACACATTACATATAATCTCTCACTTGCGTCTGTCTTTGGGCAGAGTGCACTCGGGGCGACTCCTTCAAAGGACAGTCACAACTGGGGAAAATTATACTAAGAAGCGCCAGCCCCAGGGAACAGCTGCCCGAGGCATTGCACTAGAGAGAGGGATCACTGCTTGCACTGAGACCAGTGCAACCAATGGTTTCTGGGGCTCTTGGAATTTTGTTTGTAGCCCCCCACATTAAACTGACCTTGTGTCACAATGTGGCTTTGTGGGGTGTAAAGTAAATATCAAATTACTATAAAGTAGAGCTGGGGCTTTTTAATCTCAATTTTTTCACATTTATCATATAGTTTTACTCAATTAGTTATTATGTTTCTCTTACTCTTCAAATGTTGAATGTATAACTAATTCTATTTTCAAATCTTTACACTATATTAATTTTATCTTATAAATTATCCCCTTTTCTGTCACCCATGAAATAAAAATAATTGTTTGGTCAGAAAACAAGGATCTACGTGCATCGAATCCACTTTAAATTAAGTGACAGCAGAAGAATTATTTTTGATTATGCAACGATCAATTTTGATTTCGTCTGTAGTTTATTGATGCCTATCACATCTACTCCTCCCTAGCTATTGTGATGATGGCCAAACCAAGAGTCCTTTGCAGGAACTAGCTTAAATGCTGCCCAATAGGGTGGCTTTTAAGCTAGCTACCTTTTTGGATACTCCCCTTGAACCATGAAAGCAATGATAATGGCTAGTAAAATATATTAATATATATTTTTAAACTCACATAATCTTGCAACCAATGAAATTGTTCCCTGTATCTAACTTTTCTAGGGCTTTTGAATGAAATTGGAACAGTGGGAGCAGAGGAGCTGCTTGGGCACACACATAAACTCTACTTTATATAAGATATATTGAATAACATTTTTTTTTTTTTTTTAATGGTTGTTTCTTTTTTCTTTTTTTACAACTCATATTTTTTGTGTACTTAATTTTATAACAAGGCAATGAAACGGAGATATCAGCAGCAACAATACTAGTAGTAGTAGTGATATTACTGGCAACAGTTGCAATGAAGTACAATATGACTCATTTTCTGTGTGCTTGCAATAGTTGCTTTCTACTTGCTTTACCTTGACCACTGACAAAGAAAAAAGTTATCATTTTGTAAAGATTTTCAAGAAAATTCAGTTTATACTTGAATCCATTGAGTTTTTGCAACTTTCTTTTAGTTCATTAAATTTTTTTTATTTCTATTTTACTTCATGATTTTGTCTTTCTGAATCTAAAAGGAAATAAGAATCTGGTTTATAATATATTGATTTCTTTATTCATGGATTCACCTGACATGCATAGTCTGGGGGTATGTAAGTGACACTTGGGACATCTTCACTGCTACTATCTTTTCTCATAACAGACTAATGGACCAGATCTTTGGCCATCTGCTTCTGACTATAACTCTCCTATCACTCCTCTACCCATTTTTTTTTGACAGACTATTCAAGAATACACTAGGCCCACTACCAGAATTTTTTTATCTTTCAGCTTGATGTCACTTCATCCCAAAAGTTATTTAGTTATTTCCTTTTTCCTCTACTTGTGGACAGCAGTTGACTTTGAAGATGTACTGTGTAGATTTTCCTGTCTTCACAGTCATAAAAACTGTCATGTTTTGGCCCCAGGTAAAATCCTCCATAGTCTGCTTTACTTCATAAGATGTTCTAAGCCAATCAGATTGGGGATCTATTGTGCAACAATTGGTTATATATGTGTACAATTTGACATTTAATATTTGTCTGAAATAAGAACATTAGGGTGTTGTATCAAATTTTTTTGTGAAATAATCCACGAGTGCAAATTCCACCCAATTAGATTCCATAATTATTGCTTTTTGTCACTATTCTATTCTTTATGGTTTGTTATAATCTTCATTATTACTATTATTTTATTCATCTGCTTATTGTTTGTTTTTATTGAAACACTGGTTCAAAACATCCTTCAGCAGACGGCTGGATGTGGGGAAACAAAGTAATTAATTTCCAATTAGATTTAAATTCATATCCTACACCTTAGAACTCAGCTTGTCTTTCAAGGAGTTGCCTTTGATTAATATATCATCATAAGTCTGCTAACTCATTTTACTTTAACACCTTATAGCATTGTTTATTTAAAAATATTTTTAGATGAAGCATTTTTACTTTTATTATTTTACTGTTGCTTATTATCACAAGTTGATAAACTCTTCAACTACTAAAACATGAAATCAATGTTGATGTACAGTTTGGTTGGGAGAAAGGAGTGAAAATATAAGTAAAATCAGAATGACAAGAAAAACATGTCATTTCTATTTAATGGTGAGAACCACTTACACATGAAATACATTTTTCCCTTCCATTTTGTTGATTTTATTTTTTAACTAATTCTAAATATAAAATGAGTTAAATATTTAATTCATTTAAAAAAATAAAAGCAAAAATTTACAAGAATCACAAAATAACAAGAACTTTGTACATTTTTATTTGGTTTAGACAGAAATATAGGATAAAATACATTGAATTCTAATTTTATTTTAGTTATAAATATAAAAATGTTATATGACATGAAAGAATCCTTGTTTTATTTGTGGTTGATGGTAGATTTTGGTTCCTTTCTTGGTCCACATTTGCAAACTTTATCAGCTGAACTATAGAATTTATTCTGTGAATTTAGAGTGGTTCAGTAATATATATATATATATATATATATATATATATATAGTACTGCCTTATAAGTTAGAATATGTCCTTAATATACAAACTGATTTGTGACTCAAATGTGATGGAAATTCTGAGAATTTAAGATCTTTGTCGCCTTTTTTTTTTTCTTTGGTGCTTTTACACAACAGGTAAATAATTTTTACATTTTAAAAAACTCCTTTATTTTAACAAAGAAATATCTTACTGGAAATTAACTTGTTTTAAGTTTGAAATCTTACTGAATGAGAAACTATAAATTACTGAATAAAATTAAAACTGAAATATCACAAAACAATTTTCTTTTTGAAGCCCAAATGTATAAAATTTTTCATTATAATTGTAGCTTGCTGAAGAACGTGATGCAGAGAGACGACGTGAAGAGGAGGCAAGTGCAGCTTTGTTGCGAACTCTACAAGATGAGGAGAAGCGTATGAAGGAAGAAATGAAGAAACTAGAGTCTCAGTTGAAGAAAGACGAAGAGCTGGCCAGAATTTTAGAGGTAATTCTTTGCTGGAGTGATTCCAACTGAAAAGTATGAATGCCATCAATTGAAAGTGCCTGAATTATTGCCTGTAATTTCCTATTTCTGAATATTTAACAATCAGAGTACTTTAATATTTTTTGAAACGTCATGAAATGATATTTACATGTTTCAACCATTATGCACTCTTCAGGTGTCTGTTAATCCAGGGAATGTTATCTGTTTCCACTAAGTCTACACCTGTACAACCCGGTTGAGGGATTCTATTGTCCCATCTCCTGAACCGTAAAGTTCTAGATTCAGGATTGTCTCATTGGGCAATAGCTTAGAACTAGTCAGTTCTGAATTTCCTGAAGATTACCCAGGTTGATAGATGTCTGAAGAAGGGTGGCAGACACAACAGCCGAAACATAACAAAAATGTGGACATTAGCCCAAATGTAAATAATAACACCTCATTCCTGAAAATTCAGACAGAAATTATAGAATAGTATATTTGTCTGCAATAGAATATAGTGCTTATCATGCATTTTTAAGAGATGCTGTCTATGCCAAGTAAACTATCTTGATGGATAGATGGGGCGGTACCAAAAGCAGGTACACAATTGTGAATTTGAGAAATGTAGATGTTTGGGCATAAGATTTATAATAAATGACATCCCCACCCTGTATATTGATCTGAAAAGTATTTGCATATAACACCTAATATGAAGGAGAAAATAAAATGTAAATAAAATAAATAAAATTTATTTGATAGTCTTTGTTGTAAAAATTAAGAATTTATTTATCTATTTATTCCATGTTACTGGATATGGATGGGGTTTGGTAGCATAAAATAAACAAACAAAATGGATTTTTAGGATTTGTTTTTGGTCAATTACCAATTAAAAAAATACTATGGAAAATAGATTTTATGAGAAATATTCCATAAAATTATTTATAGGTGCACAAATATTTTCTTGCCTGGAAAGAAAAAGAAAAAAAAATTTCTCCAAAAAGTAATTTCATGATGAAAGATATTTCTACATAACAGACAGGAGATAAAGCTTCCTCTTCCCAGCATGAGGGACAGAAATCTTCTACCCTAACCCTGTCCACCTATAACACAACCCTAATGAATTTGGTCACTTTTCTAAGTGTAAGGAATGAGTGCTCTTTGTTTTACCTGATCCTAATAGCTTAAACCAATTAAAACTGTTGTGAGTTCAAAACTCAGATAATTTTGGATGTTAATTCAGTTTATTGTAAAAACTCAGATAATTTTGGGTGTTAATTCAGTTTATTGTAACTAAATGCTTTTCACCTTAGTAACTTTGTTGCACAATAATTATCCATGCAAAAGTGTTCTATATAAAAATGCCCATGTCTATAGTTTCTCCAGAATAGGTCATTGATGGAGACTAATTTTAATGTAGTAACGCCCACCACATCACAGAAAATATTGTTTTTGTTCAAACTGACATTGGTAAATATTTGGAAAAGCTCTTGAATTACCCGTGTTAAAAATTGCTCTGTCCATATTTGCTGCTTTCTTTGTTTTAATGTTGACTGGTTTAAGTCATTTTCTTCTGGCTGCTTACCACTTTTCTTGGATCCTCGCCATCAGGATTATTATTCTCCCCCCCCACTTTAAACTTTATCATTTCTCATCAAAGAAATGATTTGATTTTTATCATCACTGCTTTTACTTGTTGAAAATAGTCTTCACTAATTTTAATGAAAAACAATGTTTGCTCTTTTGTAGACTGCAGGAACACCAGCACTTCGCCAAAAGGTTGAAGAGGAGGCAAAAAATGACAAACAGAATATCCAATTGTTGTTAACAAAACTACATGAAAACGAATCAGTTGCTCTGTCTACCAATAACAAGTCGTCGTCGTCTTCTTCTTCGACTCCTCATGATATTTCAGGTAGCACTGATAATCGTAATTACAAGAGAAAATCATCACCAGTATCTCCCAGCCAAAGCAAACAGCCTCGATTAATTCAGGTCACTCCACGTCAGCCTATCCGAAAAAGTTCTGAGGCTCATGTACGCAGCCCGTCCCCCATTTCTGGAAATGGTATTACTCACAAGAACAAGCAAAAATCAAAACTAAACATTGTTGACCATTTTGAGAAATTAAAGTCATTCCAGTCGGTTGGGCAGTCCAGTCCCAATAATATTTCTGCCTCTCGCACCGACTCATTCACTTCTAACTGTAAAGAGAGCCAGTCACTCAACAGTGAAGCAACAACAATATACAAAGATTCCACCAACATTATTGCTACAGGTACTTCCAATAAACTTGGCCGAAAGATACTTTTTGAAAAAAAACTGAACTTTGATAAGTGCGACTCCAAAAGCAGAGTATCCAAGTCGAGAACAAAAAGTAACCTCAGATCTTCCCCGTCAGCCTGTAACGGCACTAAATTGGATATGTATTTCAGACAGAAAGAAAAGAGAGGATGTGAAGTTTATATGGCTGGAGAAGGTAGCCGAAGTTCAGAAGAGAAAGACCGTCTTTTTGCATTGGCACTACAAAAGCAATACGATATGGAACTAAAGATGTCGAGGCAGGTGAACCGGGCCAAAGGTACTTCAGATGAGTATAAACTGCGTCAGAAAACAGTGACTGAGGAAAAAATGGAAGAGGTGACCGATAAGTCTGAAAGTAAATCATTGCCTAACAAAACACAGAAAAAAATCAAAACTTGATTTTTTAATTTGTGTCATTGCTAGGAACTTAGAAGAAAAAAAAAAAAAAAGAAATCTTTCAAGGTCTATGAAATTGGTAAACGAAAGGTTTTACTAACAATTTTTAACAGATTGTGAGGACAGTCGAATTTCTTTTCTTTTTTTGTATAAAACAAACTTTGAAGTGACAAATCAACAGGACCCCACCCCCATCAGTACTTTTGTGCCTTTTCAGTTCAAGTCACTTTCTTTTGTACTTCTCAAAATAAATGTATTTTTTATTTGCTTTTCTTCATGAAGAATCACTTGAGCAGTTTACATCTCAACTAATGAGATAAACTTGATTTTAAAGACCTGCCTTTTTCTTTTTAAATGTGTATTCTAAATTAGAATTTCAAAAAGGTGATATATAATTAATGTTGTCAGGTACTGAATACACTATCTTTATAGATATTGAATAAATTCTATTAAGTTGGTAAGTTACCTCAATATTGAAAAGATAGGAGTCAAATGAAAACCTTGGTTTTTTTTTAAATTTCACCACTTTAGAAGCATATGGATTTCTTCAGTCAATTCTGAGAATCAATTAAAGCATTTCTTATCTGTCTTTCAAATGTTTTGTTCAGTGCTGAGTCATTTTTTGCAATCTTATTCATCTACTTTCAGTTTTAATTATTGAGGAATTTTTTTTATTTTCCATTTTACAAATGAGAATTTATTATGCAGTCTTGGATTAAATTGTTTTCAATAGAAGCTCAATCTGAAAACAAGCAAAAATATTAAATCTTTATTGGAAAGATATTTAACTTTTCTCAATTTGAAACAAAATTTTTCTTTTTTAGCAAACACTATCTGGATACTAATACATCAATAATTTTTATTTGAACAAAGTGATTAATTTATTTGTCCTTTTACTGTTTGTTACATACAACTTCCCTTATAATCTAATGGTCACATTTCATTAGTTCTGAATACTCCCTATCTGAAGAGGTTTACTACTTCACAATAAGTATATAAAAACGACTGTTGTCTTGTGTCCACCATTTAAATGATCTAGTGAATATTAAAAAATTTCATGTTATGAAAGAAAACACTTATGGACTAGGAGAGGAAAAAATACAACTAGGTAAAAATGGAGATTTTTTTTTTTTTATTATTGTCAAAGATGAAACTCTTTAGTCAGAGTCTGGTGGTGCCTCAACAAATGCTTTTAGCATTTCATCAATTTGTGATGTCTGAAAAAGAGAAAAAAAAAAAAAAAAATTAACATCTCTCATAAATGAAGCATTTGTAAACAAAGTGGCATAGTCTATTTAGTGTGATTTAGTAGATAAAATGCAATTACACTATTTAATGCTTGAATTTATTCACCTATCATAAGATATCGAACCATTGTAAATACAAGACCTACATTTTTGGATTCCTCATTTTCCTCTTCAATGCTGTTGTCGTCATCCTCAGCAGAATCTTCTCCGCCAGCACTCTCCACAAACTGAAACAAGTATTTATTATTAATAATATTTACAAGTGACTATCAATTACAAATGGCATGTTTTGCTATGAAATATGAGAAAATTACACAAAACTTGCATTGTCAGTGTAACAGTTTTATGCTATATATATGGGATGTTTTAAGAAGAGTTAAAACAAAGCTTATCAAAAACTAGTGAAATGAAATACTAAACCTTCATAAAATATTTCTTTTCTCACTGAAATTCTTTATACTACATACATACATGTTCCCATTTACACAGAAACTTGTCTTAGCTGATCTGTAGACCGAGAAAAAAGAAAATTCCAAAGTAAAAGTTTCAGAAGTGTACCTTAAGTTTTTGATACACTGGTGACAGACATTTTACATAAAGAGAGTGTTGCTAAATTTTAAACTTATCTCCTTCCTGGACTTTTACATATGTCATATTATACTGGGCATTGTGTTATCTGTGGTGAGACAAGATTTTACATTTATAGCCAACAATGATAAGAATGACTCCATGAAACATTATTATTCAATAAGCAAAACTGCATCAAGATGTAAGACAATAGCCATAACCAAACTGAATTGCTATTCACCTGTGCTATTATTTTATTGGCAAACATGGACTTGGGTTTCTACAATAAAATGGAGGGACAAAAGGACCGACCCCACTTTTTTCTTTTTACTACCTTCACTCTTCAGCAATGTTTGTTTTAAAAAGCAATGATAAGAATAAAACCTAAACATCTGATGAAAAGTGAATTTATACATTTTTTTTTTGTCATTGAGAATTTACAATGAAAATATTAAACAGTATTAGATTGTTCATTTACAATATTTGAAGAACTAATGCAATGCAATATTTATCATTTACCAATTTATAAAGAAACACAAAAATTTATAAACATTGACTAAATTGTTAAAATATATGAACTATAAGTAAATCATTATTTACCATTTTATAAAGTTTCAATCAATTGGCAATTAAGCGATATTTTGTCAACCATTCCAATAAACAATCTAATGAATAAATAGTGTTTATTATTTTTGTTGTTAATTCTCAATGACAAAGAAAATGTATAAATTCACTTTAATATGTTTAGATTTTATTACAATTCTAATCACTTTTTAAAAGAATAAACATTGCTGAAGAGTGATGGTAGTTAAAAAAAGGGGTGTCATGGGGGGGAGCTTCCTTTTAACACATCTTATTGTAGGCACATAAGTCCATGTTTGTCATTTTATTAATTGTTTGTGATTTATTATTTTAGGCAACTATACTCAATCAGGATTCTATTTTAAAGCTCTTGCAATGCAAAAACTGGTTGAGAAAAGCCAATTCAATGATTTGAACTTGTCTTGGCATGTGACACTAAGAATGCTAATAATTTGAAGAAAGAAAAAAGGCTTAAATTAAGTTGAAAGTGAACACAAAAGAAAAGAAGGTAATAGATAGATTGAAGGACATATATACTTTTATCTCATTTTCTCATTTCGTGAGTAAAGGACCTCACTAGAAGATAACATTGAAATTCACTTAGGCATCTGGTTAAAGTGAATCACAAGGGACAACGTGAAGGGAGTGTGATAAAAAATGACCAAGTGACTTTCCTATTGTCACAAGTTCTATGATCAAAGATAAGCTATAATGTTTTACCTGAATGTCCGAATCTGAATTGATAGCTTCTGCTGAATTAGATTCAGAAGCAACTTCACTGCCCTCATCCATTGCTATGTCCCTGGGTGCAGCCTCCATGTCAGATACTTGTTGTGTCGATGTGGAACAGGGAACAACTTGTGGTGTGTTCAGATCCTGCAATAAATGATGGATCATGGTGAATAATGGCAATAAAGACAATTGCAAATAAAAAGCTAGTCAAAGCTCCTTCCATTTCCAAAAATACAATGTTATAAGGATCCAATGTTATAAGGATCTCAATAAGCAATAAATATTTATAAACATTCTTAAATCTTTTATCCTTCCTAGCATGACAAGTTTATCTTGATCAAAATAAGATCTCAAATTTGAACCTTTTTAAGCATTAACTGATCAATTTGCTTTTAGTTGACAAAGACTTGTGTTTCTATTAAAGTCAGGAAAATAGTGTCTTCTCAGACATGACTAATGCTTTTCTCCTGTTTACCTGCTAATAGCAGAATATATATATATATATATATATATATAGGGATCATTGGGGGGGGGGGGCAAAGTAGAAAAAGTTTTCATGTGGTGAATTTCAAACTTTAGGACTTCATCTTGTCTGATGAAGTCCTAAAAGGACAAAATGCATTACACAAAAAAATTTTTTCATAGTTTTTCCTTGAAATTATTCTTGATACATAAAGTTTTATATATAATTTTCCCATGTGGGTCATTCCATCTCGAATCAACCAACGAAATGAAGCCGTTGTGTGATCTTACACCAGCTTTTATTGTTTTATGGGTAGCAAACTGTTCAACCAATTTAAATTTAATACAAGTTTTATATATATCTCATATAACACAGTTCATGTACTTGAACACTGTTATAAATATTTATAAAAGGTAGATGTGAAATCTAAGGCTAGCTATCACTAATCAGGTTTCACTGGGATTGGCAGAATCATAGATAAACAAATACTTCAAATGCAGATTTTTCTTTCTCAATGTCAAAGACAATGGAGTATAATTTTTTTTTAAACAGATATACTGCTGCAGAAGTCCAATATTTACACTTTGCTTGCATTTTAGTTATTTATTTGGGACAAAATCAAAACAAATTAGAATACTAAGTGCCACCCCCAAAATGAGTGCTAAGTTGATTTGACAACTTCAGAAAGTTTGGATTATTTGACGTAGAACAAGATAACAAGCAAGATTATGGATTTGGAGGCCTTAACAGTTGAATGCTCTTCCTGGTACAAACTGCTTAAGATTAAAAACAATTACATGTTTGACAATTACCAGGATTATTTAAAGCAAAAGATTTAACATTATTAATAATATTTAATGTAATTGGCTTACTCCTTCAAATGTCAAACTATTCTGCTGCAAGTTATCATCCTGATGATTAGCAGTTCCGACTGAGATAAACGATGGTGGTTCTGTAGCCACTGGAGATAAGAGGGGCACTGCTTCACCTACTGTCTGCGACTGTTGTCTAGTATTTGAGACTGAGGGATATTCATTAAAGGAGGCTTGTTGTCGAGGTTCTTGAGTGGATATATTGCTTGCTGAATGTTGCATCCACATTGCAGTGGGTGGCTGGCTTGATGGGGTTTTACTTGACTGAGCAGGAACAGAAACAGTTTGAAACATAACAGCACGACAAGCAATGGCAATGAATTCAAAACTACTCATGGCTTCAAGACAATAACTTGAGACCTGTAAAAATTAGAAAGAAAAAGATAGAATCAAAGTTGAATAATCAAAACAATTCATACATTAAAGAAAGCAATAGTCAACTTTAAAGTCAAGAAATGCAATTTTTGACTCATTTTTTAAAATACTTTTCTGTCGTACAGAAAAGAATGAAAGGTTTAATTTGCTAAGAGATGCATGTGGTAAAAAGTTGCTTAAAAGCTAAATTAATTCTTAAGTATTTGCTATTTTGCAATGTTTCAACATATTAAAATTTTTTGTTAATGATATTTCTGAAAAACAAAGTCGTAGCATAAAATTATCATGCATCATATTGTAAACTCGCTACGTCTACAGATTCATGATACCCAAGCTTTAAAATGAATTTTAAAAAATGGAAAACCTTTTTTGAAGCTTTTATTTTAGTTTTAATTTCAAGCTAATAGATTAAATTTAATATTTCCAATGAGCAAAATACTTTTTCTGTATTTCAAAACTAATTTGACTGAAAGAAGTTTTCATTTTGAAATCAATAACAGTCGCTGATTTTAGCACCATTTTTAACTTTCCATCATTGCAACATAATTTTCTTTAATAAAAAATCTTTCAAAAATAAAATATACTTTTCTGAAACTTTATTTTATTCGATTTAAAATATAATTAATCTGATTTGAAACAAATATTACTTTCAGTTTAAAATATTGCAGTAATACATTTTTTAACACAGTGATAGCTGTTTATTTCAGGTGTTTACAGCTTCAATAGCAGATGAAAGTTTAATTTATTTTCTACAGTGGATATATCTATAAAATTTATTTGAGGAATATAATGTAAGCACCTTTTTTATATAATTCTTATTACTCAGTAATCTTAAATATTTAGGAAAATATTCTCTATAATCTAATGTTTTATTGAGTTATTATTTAGGTACTTTAGCTTTAAATTTACTATAGTTATCACTTATTTTCTGATAATACAGACATCTATAAACAATATTAACAAAAAATTCAAAATTCTTTTTAAAATATAGGTGTTTGATGAAATGTACTAAGCTTTTTCCATTTATTTAAGTAAAGTTTTTACTTAATAACAATATCAACTGGCACAAATTAATACAGAATTTTTAAAAGTTTATAAATAATTCTAATTAAAATTTTTAAAAAATGAAAACCATTCTTGTAAAAATAATATTTTTTTTTATCAAGATTTTCTTAAAAAAAAAAAAAAAATTCCTTTCTAAAATAAATTCATTCATTTGCAAATAAATCCTGAAAGTTTCATTAAAATATTCCAATTATATGATTTTTGCAAGAATTTTCAAATTTTGTCTCACTTTCTTATAGTGGCATGCTAATGTTTTTAGCAAATCAGTGGAGATAAATATAGTATTATAATTAGGGATTATCATTTTTCAATTTCAGATCTATAGACATTCATTGCTATGTATTATAATAAAGCTCAAAAGAGAAATAAGACATTGAAGTTATTGAGAGTTGGAAACAACACTGGAGATTGTAATTAATTTTAATTCTCCAAATCTTTTCACACAAACCAGAACACCTCTTTGGCATGATATGATTGATCTTCATAACCTCAACCCTAAGAATTCTCTTTCCATTAATGTGTTTTTCTAATTTTTCCAGGAAGAGATAAACTTATTTCCCAAATCTGTTTTCGTCAATGAAAATATATTTGTTTATCTAAATTCTCATCAAATAAATTTTGGATCTCTTTTTTTATTGTGGCATGCTAATGTTTTTAGCAAATCAGTGGAGATAAATGGAAAACAGTCTCTTGACTGTTTTCCATCCCTGAGCCAGTTGCTTTCAAACCAGACCACATTCTTGGCATGACATGATTGAGCTTCATAACCTCAACTCTAAGAAAAAGAATTTCTTCTGTTTTTGTTAACGAAAAATGTGTTTCCCTAATTTATCAAGAAAGCAACAAAGCCATTTTTCTTTCTCTGTTTTTCATCCTCATGCCAGATTCTTGATAGATAAGAAAAATAAACATTTAGGAGAGAAGAAATTCAGACAGCCTTATTCTCACTCTATCTTTCAGCTTATATTTCATTTTGGTTTAAAACTTTTCTTTTCTTGCTTAGAATTAATGTTTAACCACATTGCTGTTGTGACTGGAATATGTAGGAAATGTGGGTGAATTAACTTCGTTTCAGTCAAGTAATTTGCAGAGTTTTTTGGTTTTATCATTTTGAATTCGTCATTTTTTCTGATATTGTGTCATATAGGAATAAAGTGATGCTGCCAACACTTGGGTTTGAACACGGATCGCCAAAGAGCAAGCACAGTTGACTTCATCTTGAAATAATTAGATCATGTGATGGATAAAGGAAAATATATATATATATATATATATATATATATATATATATATATATATATATATATATATAGGAATTAGTGGCGTTTGACCAAGGATTGTTTGAAGATATTACTATTATTGTATCTGTGATTTATAAAGTCTCTCCTACAAACATTGGAGGAAATAAGAATTAAGTCAAAAAAAGATAACTTTATAATGAAAATGAAGCAGCAACTGAGATTTAAAGGGAAAAATATTACTGGAAATAATGCATTTTCATTATGTAATAACATACACAGAAAGAATTGTGATATTAGCATTGTTGCAAAAATGTATGCTAAAGGAATTTCACATAAGACATCCGGGAATTTCTTGAATGAAATCCTTAATGATGTGTTATACTTATTGGCCAAAAATGGATCAAGATATGGAAAATTTAGTGAAATCATGCAGAGGTTGTGCTCTAGCAGCAAAGTCACCGCCTATCAAAATTCAACCTTGGCCGAAAACCGATATGCCATGGTCAAGAATACATATAGACGTTGCAGGACCATTAAATGGGGCATACTATCTAGTGGTAGTTGATAGTTACACTAAATGACCAGAAATATTAAAATGTAGAAGACCAACTACTGCAGTAATGATAAATTTCCTACATGAGATTTTTGCAAGGTTTGGTGTTCTTAACTCTATTGTTTCAGATAACAGGACTCAATTTGTGTCTAGTGAATTTAAGGTTTTTTGTAAATCATTAGCAGTAGAACATATTACAACTCCCCCTTATCACCCAAGATCAAACAGATAAGCGGAACAGTTTGTTGATATGTTTAAAAGGTCATAAAAAAGTCAAAGGGAAAGGAGTCAGATGAAGTAATGCTACAACAATTTCTGAGTGTTTTCAGAATAACACCAAAATGCAAACATGTCTGGAATGTCACCTGCAGAGTTGATGTTCGCCAGGAAAATTAAGTCAGTTTTTAACAAATTATTACCAGACTGTAAGGTGAGAGCACCAAGAAATAACAATATAAGTAAATACTTCAAACCTAGAGACGAGGAATTTTTTAAAATGTATCAAAAGAATTCTGGGAAGATGGCATTATAAAAAAACACATCGTCAAAATGATAGACATGGTACAGGGACAAAGGTGGGAACATAAGCAACACCATAATCAGTTAAAGTGCAGATTCACTGATTTAAAAAGTCTCTGAAAAGAGTTACAGATGGAAATTTTGTATGACATGTTTGACATACCCACACCATCAGAAATTGTTGAACCAAGATTTTATGGTAAGAGAAAAAGAATAGCAATAGAATTTCTAAATACTGAACCGAAGCTGAAGAGGAAGTCATCTCAAAGGTGGGGGTGTCATATAGGAATAAAGTGTCACTACCGACATTTGGGTTTGAACATTGACTGCCAAAGAGCAAGCACAGTCAAACTCATCTTGAAATAATTAGATCATGTAACGGGTAAAGGAAATATATATATATATATATATATATATATATATATATATATATATATATATATATATATATAGTGGGAATTAGTGGTGTTTGACCGAGGATTGTTTGAAGGCGTTACTATTGTTGTATCTGTGATTTACAAAGTTTCTCCTACAAATGGACATAACAAAACATTGTACTCAAAATTCTTTCCAATGAGGAAGACTTTCATCCTTAGGTTCTGAGCTTTCTAGAATAACAGAAATGCAATCATGACTCCATGTTGTACTGTCCAAGTGTAACAGTGTTGGATCACACAAAGGTAAATCTACAGCGAAGTCTTTCAGGTGAGATATGTTTAGAATTTCTTGTCTAAGAGGCATAAATTATTGCTCTTAATATTTTCTAATTTTTTTCCTTTACTTTTGTTTGTGTTCCTACATTTGCACTTAATATCGGAACTGTTAAAACCATCCAATTGGATGAAGTGTTTAGTAAGTTGTTCTGATTGTCTGTTGAGCCCATTTTGACCTATAAGGTTGTGCAGTAAAAAAAAATAATAATAATGTAAATAATGTACATAATACCTCATCTCAGAAATATAGACAGCCCCCCCCCCAAAAAAAAAGAAAAAAAAAATACTTTTTTTTTTTTTAAATTATTTCATCCCAAGGAGGCAATAAGACCATTAAGACACAAGGGGTTACTGAGAGAATATGAGAAAAAAAATACTATTAAGGAGAGAGAACAATGAAAGAACAGGAATTAAGACAGAAGATAATGATTGACATTGCATTTAAATTTTTGATACTCAAAGTTGACTGGGAAGGAAGTTACACAAGTGAAAGGTGTGAGAGAAGAAAGTGTTAGCATAAAACTTTGTTACATCTAGCCATTTCAACTGTAAAATGAGGAGACCTTGCCACTAATCTAATACTACGCTTAAATTCATAAAGTCTAGGTAGCATAGAGGAAAACTCATCAGAACAATTACCATGAAAGTATTTATAGAAAAGGCACAGAGAAGCTACATTATGGTGATGAGAAAATGACTGAAGCTGAGATGCCAGGTCAGGAAATGCAGTTAGTATTTTTAAAATCTATCAATATGGCAAATAAGAATTGGAAAACTATCAAGATAAATTGCAAAGAATTTTTGATGTAGTCTCCATTTCTAAAACTTCAAAAATTTTTTATAGATTTTGAGTATTTGATGCATTAATATGAATTTAAAAAAAGTTTGTGATTTTGATACAAAAAAATGAGATTTTAAAAGCAAGAATATAAATAAAAAAAATGTATTAACGTTGTTAAAACCTCAAAAAGTGAGAAGTTAATGTGTTAGCAAATCAGCTGATATTTACCATGAGGTCAGGGTCTTCATTTGATGCCCTGTTCAACAAAGACATAATGGTAGCAACAGGTGGGGCGTAGTAAGCATGACGAACAGTACCTAGAACCATTAGAGAATGGAATTGCTCTTTACGACGACTGCTACTAATATTTTGTTCTGATTGTTGGAGGAATGATGTCTCAACACAATCGATTAGAGCAGCTTGAATATCCTGCAATGGAAAATGGAAAGAATCAGAAGAGAGAAAACAGTGTGGCATTCAAGACAAAATAGAAACATTGGGCAGATTAGAAGGAATGCAAGTTGTTATTGAACAAATAGTTTCAGAAATATACATCAATATATTGAAATATATTATTATCTGAAAATATACAGAAGATGCGCATACATACATGCAGACATATATAATAATGCCTAGTTGCTTATTTCAGAGTTCACCAGTCTGCTAGAGAAGTCCTGTTGCTGGAATCTGCTCAGGCACATTTACCTTTTTTCAACACCCATAGTGCCAATGTTTGTTTTATACTGCAACTATGTTGAGTGAACCGGAGTTACAGTTTGTAATTTGGCAGGATTAGTAGTTGAACAAGGCCAGTACTCTCAAGCCCTCAGTCACAATGACTTGCGATTTTGTGCTAGCACAACCACTGATGATGTCTGAAAAGTTTTGTTTGCCCAATTTCACTCACAAGACTTGGTTCAACCTGTGGTATGCTTTTTAAACACTTTCTATTGGTGCTGCAAGCTGTTATCAAGAAGCCTTGACAAAGCAATTATGTTTAACTCAAACCAGAGTCTCATAGTTGAAATGCTAACATTAATCACACACTCAACATGTATAAAGACTTTTTGTGATACATTTTGTTTAGAGAAGCAACTTCTTCAAACTAATAACAGTTTTATTGTTGGAATCAGTTGTCCATATATAAGGGTGGGGATTGTTAAAAATACAGAGAATCTCAGCTTGAAATTTTAATTTTGATATATGATTTATCTCCTTTTTACATTGGGAGACCTTATACCTTTTACTCAACAAGATCAAAGTTTTTCCTATAATCGAAAAACTAAAAGATACATATACAAGAGTCAAATGCATGTTGCTGCTGTCATAAAGAAATATAAATCAATAAGATTGATTTTCTTGGTTTTCCTAGTAGAATTATCCAACATGTTTTTGCATTTTGGATTCTGTAATTGTAAATATGATATTGTTAATATGCATTACTTCCTGGTATGAAATAATCAATTTTGAAAGTAAATTGAAACATCCCTGCAACCCTGCCATTTTTGAAAATTACTTCATACCACTTCGATTTCACAAAAGACCAGGATTGCTTAAGCCACCCTCCCCATCTCCAAAATGGAAGCAATTTATATGAGAAAAACTTTTGATCATTTTCAAGCACCAAAAATAACCTTATGTCTGCCTGCCTCAATATCAAGTTTTGTCCTCCAATATTGAAGGCATGAAATAGGATGTCTGGCACATTTGTCTATGATAGGCTTCTTTGTAGGCACCCAAAACATTTTATACACTACTTGCAACCTAACCAGACAATGTGTAAGTTATTTTGGAGATCTAGTTATGCTCAAATATTTCTCAAATTAATGGTAATGCTTGTTTGCTTTATACTGTTTTGGCTTACAAAATGTTTCAGTGGATTTCTCTATTTTTGGCGAGACTAGGAAAACTTGTATATCATTATTACTTGGCTTTAAAAACAAAAATACACTAAGATGAAATGTTTTGCATGAGGACTTGCAGTTGTGCTACTTACAGTTACTGTTGGTATTGTGGAAACCATTAACAAGTTTTTTTATTTACACTATTTACATTTGGACTATTGTCATCTTGTCATGTTATCACATTTCACTCAGTCTTAATTCTTTTGTGAGGATTCCACTTGCACCAGAAAGGTTAAGCTTAAATATTCTATATAACTCTTCCATTAATTCCCAATTACTGACACCCTCCTCCAATGTTCAAAGCATAACAAGTGAACTCGGTACTAAAACTTGTGAAGCAAACTAAAACCACAAACTGGTGATTAGTCATGTTTTCCCCATTCTTCTACTTATTTTCGAATATGACTATTTTGTGTTTTTCACCTTAACATCAAAACAGAAACAAGTTAATGCTCATGATTCCAAACAGAAGAGTAAATAAAAATTAGTGAAGGTAAAAATAATTCATTACATAAAGAAAAACAAACTTAAATCTTAATGGTTAGTTAGAGAGGGAGCCATAATATTTTCAACAGAACAAAACAAGATTTCCAAAAATACTTACATTTAGAGATTTAGCATTAATCCTTGGCCCAACTGTAATTATCAACCAACGAAGAACTACAGAGAAAAGAAACAATCTCTTTTAAATGAAAACAATCACATATTTTCTCTTAAACTTTATACTGCTGAGAAAGAAGGAGGGGGGGCATTAAGAAAAAAATTTAAGAAATTACCATTTCTTCTGCTCCACAAACAACAAAAAACTATTTCATGGCTGACACTAATTTGTAACAAATTCAATCTGCAAATAAATTAAAAACAAACCAACCAACAAATCTTACATGCGGAATTCAATAGACACACTGGTATAATTTGGACGAGGTTCCCGTTTGTGTATGAAAATAACCTTTAGTTAGGCTAACAGCATCAAAATGAATTAAAACAGATGAAAAACCTTATGAAGAAGGGATAGATTGAGTGGAGATTCATAGAGAAAAATTTTAATTAAAACCTATAATAAATTAGTTGATACAGGACCAGCAACAACCAAACACTTGTTTAAGTGAGGAGGACCAAGTAAATCTATTCATTCAAGCCCTCAGTCACAATGACTTGCGATTTTGTGCTAGCACAACCACTGATGATGTCTGAAAAGTTTTGTTTGCCCAATTTCACCCACAAGACTTGGTTCAACCTGTGGTATGTTTTTTAAACACTTTCTATTGGTGCTGCAAGCTGTTATCAAGAAGCCTTGACAAAGCAATTATGTTGCTGGATTGCCTAACCTGGAGTTGACAGGATTGTTTCTTAGATAAAATCTAAGTCAATCACTCTAAATGAAGTTTGTGTTTCATACTTTTCAGTTAATTCTATGTCAAATTATAGGAAAGAGCACATCTGGGTCTTATGTTACTTGTCAACATTAGGAGCATCTGGTTTTCCAACAAAGAAAGAATCTTGGGTATTTGAGACTAATTGCAATGAATTAGTCTTACATCAAAATGTCAAAAGGTAAAGACAAATTGTTTATTTAAGGGCATACCAATTGCCATTACCTATAGATCCCCTGGAAGCACAATGAATAAAAACAGACACAATTACTGCAGGATATGAAAGACTGACTAGAATTCAAACATAGTTATGCCAAATGATGAGCTCAAATTATACAGAAGCTCAATAGGAAAATTAAATTGGCTAGGAATGCAGGCAGACTGATTTAAGTTATGAGAAGTGATGTGGCATCATTCCTAAAAGACAAAAAGGTGGAAACTATGTTGCTGGTCATCTAGAAAAGCTAAGAAAATATACCCCAGATTGTTAATATATAATCTAGGCAATCTTACTGGAATAAAACTGATAGCATATTATGATGCAGCATTTACTGGACTTGACAATAGAAGATCTCAAGCAGAGTACATTATCTTTCTTGTGGGTGACAATGATAATTAGGTTCTTATTTCTTGACAATCCCAAAGAATTAAGAGAGTTGGAAAAAGTACATAGGCAGTAGAAATGCTCGCTACATTTGATAGGATTAACATATGCATTTTTTTTTTTTTTTTTTTTTACACAAAATACCTTCTAGAACTTCTATGTATTGGAGACAAACCAGAAAATCTTTCAGTAATATGCAAAACCAACAATGCAGCTCTATATGATTATGCTTACTGGTCAGCTCAAATATTGGATAAGAGGTTCAGAATCAAAACTGCAATTATTCACAGAATGTTGGACCAAATGGTAATACATAAACTTGAATAGATTCCCAGCTCAAGCCAAGTTGCTAATTAGATTCTGGATCATGTATGAGCCTAGAATATTTCTTTCACAAGAAAAAATATATTAATGTGGAAATTGTCATAAGCCTCTACTTTGTCTACATGAAAAGAGAAAAAGGAGAGAGCCATTAACCTAGTTCTTCTACCTTTCAGATGACTATTATGAAGCTTGTTAATGCTAATCTACTCAAGGATTGAATTCTTCATTATTAGCTAACAAATATTGTTGAATGACCCTATTCCACCTGCTAATTAAATGTGAACCAACTCTTTTCCATAAGAACTTCTAATAATTTGTTCAGAGTGAGTGAAAAATTCTTTTGCCTCTGAAATCTATACTGGGCAATTTCAGAGCTTAAATAGTTAATCTTTAAAGTGCAACATGTGGCTACATCCCAAACAGCTCACATCTGTCTCATCTAATTTCTTAATTTTATTTATTAACTAGCAATAGAGCCCGGCGTTGCCGGGGATGTAACAAAGAGATAGATCAAATATCGACCATCATAAAGACTGAAAAATAAAATTGACAAAGATTATTGTTTAAGGTTGACGGACACGCATGTCTTAATTAGTTTTTTTTTTTTTTTTTAATTAGTCAAACCCAAACTCAAACAAAACATTGTTTTCAATCGTTATGAGTCTACCGATTGAATAGAATTTTATTATAAACAATTGTCTTGTAAATGGAATTTTTAAAGCATTCTGAATGTAAAAATATAGAAAAATGTGTGCAAGACAATAAGAAACACTACCTGCCAAAAAAAAAAAAAAGAAAAAAAAAGTGAAGTTTTGTTGAAATCGGTTGAAAAATGTAGGAAATCCAATCCCATATATAAATGAACAAACACACACACACAACCTGGGTTTTATAATAAGTATAACTCGATATGAGTTGTCCCCCTTTCATTTTCCTGATGCCTCTTAATCGTGTTTCCAAATTGATTTCGTGCAAAAACAATTGTGTTTTTCCAATTTTTAGCGCTGTCAGAACAACCGCAAGGTAATTTTACGTAGTACTGTGAAGTTTTGTTGAAATCGGTTGAAAAATGTAGAAAATCCAATCCAATATATAAACGTACAGACACACACACACACACAATCTGCATTTTATAATAAGTAAGATGAAGAACTTCTTAAAGTAATTTCTAAAACTGGAAGTTATGCCAATTTTTATTCTCAATACAGTCAGTGACAACTTTTCCTGAAAAATTTAGGTTAATTGGGTTCTCATTCTTTCAGAAAAGCTAAAGCCTTTTATAAATATTTTGTTAAATGTGGTGGGGAGGAGACAGCAGTTTTGATCAATTTCCATATGTACAAGAATCATTTAACTATAACTCAAATGTTAGCCGTACAATTTTTTTCTCTTCCATATAATACTTCAATTTAATTTTATTTGAGTTTAATGAGTAGATTTGATTTAAATGCATCTCAGTCTTTTGTTTTGTGTTTACTTGAACCAACTCCACAAATATGAAAGCATTGGAAAGGATATATTTCATAATTTTCTGTTGTTTACAATTCCTAAGTACAACATGGAATAACCTCGAAGAACCAACATTTTTTTTTCTTAAATAAAGAATTTAACAATCATTTTGCTAAGTTCCTAATTAAGAAAAATATATAAAAATTGATGAAGTAGAAAATTATATTCAAAAGTTACATATGAGTGCCTTTGCAGTTAATTTTATTTTTATGCTATAAAATTATATGACGAAAAAAAAAAAACAAAAAAAAAAAGCTTTTATGTTTTAATACTAACAGCTAAGATTACCATTTAAAATTCAGCAGGGACTGCTATGTTTTCTTTTCTCATATAAATATATTTTATTATAAAAAACCATCGTATTTCTTTAATCACAAAGCAGAACTGAATATTTAAGCATAAAGCAGTTTTAAAAAAACAATGATTTTAACAATTTGTTTTCATTTATTGCAATTTTTAATATTTTTTTTTTACATTCAATCATTAAAAATGAAATGTTAATCATTATTCATAGAAGAAAATAGTATATAAAATATTAAGTATACATTTATGTAACTGTTCAGTGTGTCTGCATTAATGTTATACAAATAGTGAGTGACAAGGCATTAACATAATTCATGAAGTAGAAAAAAACATCATAAAACATTACCTATGAGAGCCTTAACTGCAAGATCTCCATTGCTATTACACTGGGCATCATTAGTAATTCTCCCTTTCTTATTGGTATCTGCCAACTATCAATACAACAAAAAAGAAAAAATACATATATTAATAACATTTTAAATAACATCTAAAAAATTATTTGCATGCTTATCCAAATAAAATAAAAAAGAATTCATTTCTCACAATAGTAAGATTTTTACAGCACTTTATAATGGGAAATCTTTGAGAACATATCAACATACACAAATTTGTTTTCTGTTTAAAAAAAATGAGCAGTTTTACTTCCAAGACCTATCAACAAAGTCATTTGGCATCTATATGTTTATAGTAAGCATAAATCACTTAAAAATTCTCTTATGTTTTACTTTTATCAAATTAGTTTCATTGTTGCACTTATAAAATCACAACAAATTAAGTCCCAGTTGTCAATCACCCATAAAACCATTTTTTGTGACTAAAATTGAAAATTAATAAAAGTCGTCTTTAAATTGGCAAAAGAGTTTACAATTTGATTAATGAGGAAGTTTTATTTTCATCCATAACAAATGAAGAAATGACTTAACATTGGCAACATACTTCTCAGGAAAAGAATACACACAACCTTTATAGATAGCCAAGTATTGTACGAAATAAAAAATTCCACTTTTATATTTACACACACACTTTATACCTGATATTGAGCGCTTATGCCACAAATATGACATACTTTAAAATTTTATTTTTTATCATATCTAACTAACACACACACACACACACACACACACACTACAGGCAAAAAATTTGGGGCCACCCTGCAGTTCTTAAATAACAAACAAACCTTAATTGAGACATTTTTTCATTTTTTTTTTTAAAGTAAAAGATTAAATTTCAGCAACTACATTGTATTTGCTTTTATTTTGACAAAATATAAGCACTTAACTATAAACAAATATCATACAACAGCATCATATTTTGTTTTCCTCAATAAAACCACCACCTAACTTAATTACTGCATTATAAATACTTGCCATTTTTTTCTAACACTTTTTGAAAAAGGTAGATGGCAGACATTTTCAAGCACTGAAAAAGCTCATTCTCACTCTTTGGCTATTCTCTTCAAACTCTATCCAATTCACCCCGTACTAATAGGAGAGAGGTCCAGAGATTGAGGTGCCAAATCATAATTTCCAAAATGTCTTTGAAAAATAGAATGATATTGTTTTTTGTTTTTTTTCATGATTCCCTTGACTTGAATCTAATCTCCAGCCTGCTCTCCCCCAAAACACCCCCACGCCATAACAAACCCACCACCATGCTTAACTGTTGAAACCATACATTCATCATTCAGTCTTTCTCTTGGCTTTCTTCTCACATACACTTACTGCCAAAAAGTTCAAATTTGAATTCCTCTGTCCACAATACGTTTTGCCACTCTTCCAAATGTCCAGTCCTCATGCTTTGTTTTTTGCCCATAACAGTTCTTTCTGCTCATTCACCTTCCGCAATAGGGATTTCTTGATGGCTATGCAACCTGAGTCCTGTTGATTTTTCAGAGTTGTGAGTGACACTGGTTGCTGTTGAGAGCAATTAAGTTCAGCTATCAACTTGGGAGCAGTTTTACTTCTATTTCTTTGTTCCCAATAAGTAAGTGATTATGTTCAGTACCAATTGTCATTTTTGATGCTCCAGCTCATTATCTCTCAACATTTGCACCAGTTTCTAACTGCCTTTTTAACAAACATTGCATCCCACATCTACAAATCTACAGCTTTTTGGCAATTTGTCTTTGAGAGAAGCCTTCTCTAAATAAAGTTTCAATTTGTGCCCTTACCTCAATGTTTAGCTACATTGATTTTGCCATTTTGTGCAAATTACTTTAAAATTAAAAAATACAAACCATGAAAATACTATTGTAATGGCACAAATTTTTTCTTCTAATAAAATGGTAGCTAAATATGTTTTGTTTACAACATTAACCAGTGCTGAGGTAACATTTAGAAGCTATATTAACATTGAACAGTTGAAAATTTTGGTAATCTCAACAAGTCTACTGAAGGATTAATAGAAAAAAACAAGATATGTTTCTCGTACAAAATATTCATAATTTAACAAAATATATGGAAGCATGGTGGAGTAATGGATAGTGGCTTGGACTGAGGAATTCAAGAGCTGAGTTTCAGTTCCCATCAGATCCATTACATTCACTTATGTGCTAGTACCCTTGGGAAACGTATGAATCCTCTGCTCTCTCAAGATATGGGTAAATAGCAGGACAGACTGGGTTCTATAACCTTGGATGGCAACCAGTCTAGAAGGAAAAACTGAATTCAAAACCATTCTGGAGAGGGTTGGGTTCTGTCAGTAGTACCATACAGAATACAGTGTGGGTTTTGAGGGTCAGATTTAGAAGAAAATAAAAAAATGGACAGGTGACAGATTGAGGCATCTTATATGTTGCAAAATAAAGTAAAATCTTGTACTTGAAAATACAATTGTTGTTCAGCAACATACAAGTAGGACTGGCTAACAAATAAGCAAGCAAGAGTTGCATACATAACGATTTGAGGATAAATGTAATTTACAACAATAAGCAACCAGATATAACCACATTAAATACACAATTCTCACTACCAATTAAAAACTTAGACCTACTTATAATTGGGAAGACAATTATATCTAACCTACCACTGATAAATTCCAAATTCTAAAACATGCCAGTCTCTAAGGATTCTTGTATTGAAAATTGGAATTCTTACCTTAATGGAAGGTTCTTCAATGGCAATGTCTTTAAGTATGTGGTTGATCATTTGATCTGTGAATCCTTTCCGATCGATGGAACTTTTCATTACCTGGAGGTAGACTGTCAGGCAAGAGTAGATCTGGGATTTTGTTTCACTAGAAAACGAGAGACCATAATACACAATCAAATTGATGCTATTAATAAAATTAGAATACTGATCAACTGAATTCACCCAGCATCCTAATTCTCAGGGTATGTGACAGTGTGAATTTAGATTTGAGTGGAACTTTTGAATTGGTCAGATAAGTACATATTTGAAACCATTTGAAAATAATTCAAATTTATACTCACAAGTAAGCAACAGTTGTAGAATGTCCAGATTTAGAGCTGAGAGTTTTCTGAAGGAACTTGATTAATAAATTGCTGATAATATTGCTGAAAGGGGCAATCTGGCTACGGAGACTAAAAATAAATATGAAATAAAAGAAAATAATTAAACATAGTAATACATTAGCAAGTACATGTATTGAATACAAAATTTGTAAAATCAGAACTTGTCAAAATGTCGAACTGTGAGAATGCTAATAATTTGAAGAAAGAAAAAAAAGGCTTAAATTAAGTTGAAAGTGAACAGAAAAGCAAAGAAAGTAGTAGATAGATTGAAGGACATACAGAAAACAAAAGAAAATTTTCTTTTATTTTCTTTCCTCATTTCATGAGTAAAGGGCTTTGCTAGAAGATAATGCTGAAATCCACTTGGGCAAAGTTAAAGTGATGCCCAAAGGACGATGTGGAGGGGAGTGCTGTGACAACTGCGAACAGACCAGGGCTGGCATCTTTGGACAGAGACCACCAAACTAGTCACAGATAATAATTTTATGGCTACAAGTAGAAGAGAGTAAGGAAATGATTCTGTCACTTGTTGGCAGGGGCGGAAGGTATGTATATCGCTACAGAAATAAGATCTCGTTGGATACAATGCAGAATCCAAATGATGAAGAATTTGGTTAATTGGTAAGATAACAGTTTGGTCAGGCCTTCCCCTAAGACAAGGAAGGAATTATAATTATCCAAGATGAGAAATTTGGAAAATATAAAAAAAAAAAAAACATGTTTTTTTGACATTTCTGATGAATTTGAGACAGATAAGCATGCTAGACATGCCACCCAGCAGAGGGACACCAAATTGGTGAATGAGAGAGAGTGAGAGAAAACAGACTATGCCCATTGAAGGTGTGTTGGTATAAGGTACAAATAGAAGGAGGAGGGAGTAAGTGAGGCAGGTTGATACCCTGCTACCACTACTCTCCGGAGGAGGGGTTTCCCAAATTTGGACATGCAGATTGCTTCCCAGGACACTGTCAGCAGGGAGTTCTAATGGAATATTTGGAAAATCCTGGAACCCGAGATTGTGTCAGACACCACGGTGATATTGGGTAAAGGTTCATAAAATCGTTAGATTGGAGAGGAATTGGCAGTAGCAGCTGAGGGAGAGATGTGCTTCCATTACACCAAGAGGAGACGATCACTTCACCGATCCCCATGTGACTCTTGACTCATGCCTTGTTCCAGACTATTAGATAAATTAAGCAGAGTGCTCTGATGAAATTACAAAGTGGAAGAATTGAAAGTCTCTACATAATGAGGGAGAGAGATGAGTGCTTCATCAACATTCCATAATTTGCTGCCTGAAGTCGTGTGACTTAAAGTTTGAAACCTCAACTCAGACTTGAAAATGAAGAACAAAGTGTCATGAAATTAGACTACATGCTTGTAGATTCTTATATAAAAAAAACGTGTTCCTGTATAAACTTCAGTTATATAAAATTTGTTGATCTACACAACTTTTTTTTTTTTGTCATATAACATCATCCCACCTGAACGACACTAAAATCTGCTATGTCAGCAACATCTTGTATAATCCATTCACAATTATATGATTAATAATTTTGTAAAAAATAATCTTTATATGTCTACTGGAAAAAAAATGTTACTATGTTGCAAGAAAAACTGATAGTCTTCCAACCACCACAAAATTAAAGCAAATACCTAATCAATATCTGAAGCATTATTTAATATACTGAGTTGAAACAAAAATTGGTAGCATTGGAATAAGTGATTTCACACATGTATTAAATTTATGACATTTCAATGTCTTTCTATACAATTTATGTATGGATTGTAAATTTTAAATGTTTTTTCGTTAAAAGTGAAAATGGAAGAAAATGAGATGTATTTATGACCTTGATGCTTTTTGATTTCCAGAAAAGAATAAAAAGGACCAGTGTAAATAGTAAAAAGATATGTGCCATTTATGGAGATGTTGCTGTAGCTGGGTGTGTATTGTTTGTAAGTTGTTCACTAGGTTCAGAAGTGGAAATTTTGATCTATATGAAGAACATTCTGGCAGGCCTGCAGTCATTGATAATAACCAAATCAAAACTTTGATTAAAAATAATCTAAGTCACATGATATTGCAAAGATAGCTCATGATTTAATGGAAAAAAATTAATGAACTACATTTTCATCTGTGATTCTCTGTCCAAATGCAACAAAAATGACACATTTTCGAAAAGAACAATGATGGATGATGAAAAAAGGATTTTTGCAATAATGTGGAAAAAAAAAAAAAAAACCCTCACATCTCTTCACAGACTAGGCAGAAAATAGCACAGCCTAGCTGTGTTTTCCAACTATACTTGCCATGGTCACCTGACACAGCACCTTTAGATTACTACTTATTTCAATTCCTACAAAATTCTCTTAATGGGAAGAACTGTCACAATTAAGACTATTTCTTCACCCAGAACAATGTTAAGTTATGGAAGGATGAAATCATGAAGCTGACCCAAAGATATCAAAAGTTAGTGAAACAAATGTGGTTAAATAAATCTATGTAAAATATCTAAATAGTAGCTTTGAAATACACTTTAGAAATGCTATGAATTTTTGTCCTGGCCCAATAATAATCAAAACAGTACATAACCAATAACAAACAATTTTTATTACATTGCAGAAAAATACAATTATTAAATGACTACACTGAAAAATTATAAACAACAAAAACAAAGCTAATTAGAAAATCCATTTAACCCCTCACTTTTAGTACAGTTCTTTCTTTGCCAGTTTACAATATTCAAAGATGGATGATCTTTGCTAAAAACTCTCAGGCTTCACTTGCTCAAAGCTTTTTTTTCACCATTGATCTTAGGAAGCAGTTGCATGCAGCTGATAGTTTAGATATTTCTGAACAGGTCTGGCACCACTCATGACATCCACATGAAAATCTCGATTTCACAAGACTATTTAAGAACATGACTCAAGTTTTCAGGCTGATGTTTTGCTTTCATAGCAATTTACCTCTATTCTGTATTCAATTTCCTTTCCTACTATACTAAATTTATTATAACTGATCCATATGTTAAGGTATTTAGTATTTACTAAATTTACATCCTGAATTTTTATGATGGATTCAGGGTATACACTATTACTGCTTTCATTCCAATTCCAGATCATAATTTCTTTGTTTTTTTTTGGAAGATTTCTTGGAACACTTAGTATAGGATGTTGATTTTCTGTTCAAGATCATTCTTATCCCAATTATGAATACCTATGTCATCAGCATAGGTGCCCCCTCTCATCATCATCATCAGTACATTGGCCTAAGAAGGGAAAGTATGATCATTATTTTTTATTAGTAAATTCATTTGGGATGTGGTATAGAATTCTTAAATAATCAGTGCCCATCTCATTACATCTATGTTTGTTAATGTGCAGGATATAGTCTACAAAAAGAGGTTTAAAATGTTTCCATATTGTGATCCTCACCAAATATGTAAGATTTTGTAGATCTATACAATTCTTTTATTAGATCGATACATTCAGTCAATTTGAAGCTTGGAAGACAGTTTCTAATGGATAAGAGGAGGAAAACTATCTATGGGGTTGTATGCTGCTGGGAGGTTGACAAAGCATATTTACAGTTTCCTATTATAGAGGTAAGAAATTTCTTTGAGTTTGATGACATATGCCACCATTACATCCCTTACTAGAAAAACCAAACTGGATTGTGAGGAGTTAACTTTCATAAAAAGCATAACTATATAAACTTTCAACTTTTCCCTATTTGAATCTTGTTTATAAAAAAAAAAAAAAGAAAAAAAGAAAAAAGAAAAAAACAGTAAGAAGGCTAACAATAAGACATTGCTAAAATCTGACATCTAAAATCTTGACTGAATCAATATTATCAACAAATATTCTAACTGGAACAATATAAATATATAAAAGATTAAAGACTTCAAATAACTTACCGGTTGATGATGGTGGTTAACAAGGCAGAACCCTGACAAATTAAAGTTGGCTGGTAAGAGATGTACAGTTCTTTCCTTATGGAGGGTGATGACTGAGGAAAGAGCAGAAAATTCAGAATAAAGTCTGTACACAACACAGAGATAGTGAGAATGTGTGTGTGCGTGTGCATGTAATTAATCCGACTTTTTCTTATTATTATTACTTCAAACATTATTATAGTGGATACACATCTTTGAAATAGAGGCTTCATTTTTATTTTTACTTTAAACTTTAAATATTATGTATTGTTTATGTTTCGGAAATTGAAGATATGGGCTTCTGAGAAAAACATCTTGGTGAGGAAAGCAGGTGTGCTTTTCTTGGAAGGAAAAACAGAAACTTGCTGAATTGTGACACTCTTCATAGCTGAGTGGTAAAGCACCCTACTAGCCAAACAGTGGTTTCACCACAAAAGGTGTAGACAGGCTCAGTTCCTGCCAGAGAGAATCTTTTCCTTTATTCAAATTTTTTGGATACACAGACGTAATACACACAATTTAAATTAAAAATAAAAATGGGGCATCTACTTCAAATATAAGTATCTATTATAATAACACATCAAATATATATATATATATATATATATATATAAAAATAATAGTGCAATGGGTAAATTGTAGTCATTTTAGATTTTTAATTTCACACATGCACATTGTTTCTGATTTTGTCAACTGCACAGTATAGTAGGGTCAGTTGGGCAGCATCTGTGAGAAAAGAAGCACCATGACACAATTCACTCTACCAAAAATTTGGAAAGAGCATGTCGTACTTCTTGGCATTCATACCAGAAGGTCCAATAAGAACATTTCAGAGTGTTTGGGTATTAATCAGAAGATAGTGCAGAGGATCTGGAAAGAGTTGGATGAGTCTAATGGTGGTTACAAAAAGGTGTTTAGAGTGAACATGAGTAATGGCGACATTATGCCTCCATTCATCTTTCCACAGGGCCTCAGACTCAACAGAGAAGCCTACATCAAGTGACTTGAAGTAAAACGGGACTCTGCACCATGCTACACAAGCAAGGGAACCCAGCCATGACTGCCAGACAATTTCTGCAACCATATCACTCCTTACATCTGGCTAACTTCTCAGACTGCAAACCCCATGATTATGTGTAGGGCACAGTTGAGCGAGATACAAAAAAAACTTTGTAACACCAAAGATAAACTGAAGGCAAGGATTACGACAGCATTCACCAACTTAAACAAGGAGACAGTCCAGAAGAGTTGAAAGAAATTCTGAACTTGTCTGGAGGCCCTGGTCAAATGGTGATTTTATTGAATAAATTTACTCTTTAGTATTTCAAGATATTTTTGCATAATTTTGGTAAATATATCTGTTAAAATGAGATGTCAGTGTTATTTTCATTTTTGCATAATTTAGATGACAATTTATCCATTGAATTCTGCGTATATGCATGTATGACCAAGCGTTTAAAACTCTAGCAGTCTGACCATGAGACCCAATCTCACTATGGTTGATTCATCAATGTGGTGACTTCTTGATAATTATCATGGGGGCAGCAATCCCAGAGTGCAGTGCAATTAGGAAGTGCCTGAAAACCAGACTATCAGTTGTGAATTAAATTAGGTAGATGAAAGTACTTGGAAGCTGTCAATTGTTATACTACCACAAAGTGACAAGTCAACATGACCAAGGCTTGAGTAGTAGATTGGCTTTTTTTTTTAAACTGTTCATCATGCTAGATTATGCATCCTCTCTCATAAACTTTAAGTTGTAATATAAACCACAGGCTGACACTGTGGGTGTTGAAGAAACTGATATGTTTCAGAGTATGCTTGGCTGCTAGGGCGATTTGCTTATCTGTCAGACATTTACTCGGGCACATTTTTTTTTCTTTGAAACTCACCAAGCCAACTTATAATTTATACGGTAACTATGTTGAGCAGTTTCTGGGAGAATACACATAAAGATCAAGAGTTTTAAACAAGAACAGTGCACTCAAATCATTGGCTAAGATGACTCACGACTTCATGCTAGCACAACCATCAACAGATTCTGAACACTTCCATCTACCAAATTTAACTGACATCATTGGGTCAACTTGTAATATGCTTTTCAGGTACTTCCCAAGGCTGTTCCCTACCAGACTCATTTCCCTAGGTTGATATTATGAAGTTAACTTCTTGAAAAATCAACCAGTAAAATTTGAAACCAGGTCTCATGGTTGGAACACCAATATTCTAAACACTTGGACACAAATATTATATATATATATATGATTTTATATTCCTTATGTATATAAAAGTTCTTTTTTTATTCAAGGATATTTTGAAGATCTCGTTGAAATGCGAGAAACAGTAAATGGGTAAATAATAATAATAAAAATGTTGTTTTTTTATGTGTGAGTGTGTGTGTGTATATGTAGGTTATAAATTAAAAGAATATCAAACACTTAAAATCCCATAGGTAATAATTTTTTTTTGATGAGAGCTCTAAAAAAAAAAAAACAGCAGCTCTGAATCTTCTTTAATTAATAATAATTTTGCTCTATATATATATATATATATATATATATATATATATAAAAATAAAAGGGAAAAATGTCTTCCCCTAAGATTTCCTTTAGTATATACTCAATGGTAAATTCCTAAGAATTAAATTTTTTGTAGTTTCTTCAGAAGAAAATTTCTTAGATTTGTTTGCACAACTGTTTTCCATTAAAATCTTTTACTAAATCCAAATTTTATATAAAAAAAATGATTTTTAATCCTTTTTATTTTAAGCAGATAAAAAGAGTGAAAAAGAAAAACCTTTTTGGTGCTGATGTCGACCATCCTATGAAGTAACTGAAGAACCTCAATGACATTAAAACTGACGGCATCTGAAGATTTCAAACATGGTTTACTGAAATTGAGATTGAACTGAAATTACCACAAAATGAATATCAAAAGTGAATTGTCAAAACTATCAATAATATATTCAACATATCACAATGTACAACTTATGAGTTTATACAAATATTTTTCTAGAAAGGATGAAGATGTGTTTAAAAAGAAGAGTTTATTTCTCTCAAATCAATTATTACTACACATTTCCCAGTCTAATGGGCTGAGTATATATATACATCATAAGTAAATTGACTTATTATTATTTGGAAGAAACTTTAATAAACAGAATTCTACAAATCAATAGAATAAAATATAACCTGTAAAAAATGAGATATGGGAAGGGGAATACAAGAGACATATGGCCTAGTAAATTAAAACATTGGTTAAAACATATTGGAAGTTGGAAATTCAATCTGCGGATCTGGTGGTGCTAATAAACTCATACATGTTCAGTGGATGAAACAAATGGGCAATATAAAGGTGACTGAGAATGGTGAGTGGTAACCGATACGAGTTATCTCCCCTCAACATGGAAAGTGGAACGAGAACAATCTACCCCTGCAGATGGGTCTGAAATTTCAAAGGTATCAACTATGAAGAGAGACACTTGAAGAAGGATGAAGAGTACAACAGTTGAAATCAGGATGACTATGCTTGCTGGTAGAAAAGAGCATATAAGGATATTTTTTCCAATGATTTTTCAGAATAAATCTTTTCAAGACAAAATCTAGCTCCAAGACATTTTTTCTTTTCATTTCCAACTTTATTACAGATATGGAATAAAGATCACTGTTGTGCTTTTTATTGAAGATGGCTCTTAGCTTTGGTTATAGGGTAACTAGAATTATTCCAATTTTCATCAGAGAATAAAATCAAAGATTTATGGTTTTAAAGACCATGAGGCAATGATCTCACAGGTTTAGAAGATGATTTAACAAAAAAAAAAAAAAAAAAAAATCAAATTCTTTTTGGAAGTAGCATAATTCTATTTTCCCTTATTTCTTTCATGATACAAGAATTGTATATTTTTACTTGCAGGTTTTTGCATGGTTCTGCAAGCTATCCTAATACAAGGATGGAACAGTGACAGATTAATGAATCAAGTTCAACAAACATTTAACACAGCCAAGACAATTTTAGCCACTAAAGGAAATAATGACTTAGGAGCCTTTTTAGATTCTTCCCATGATGCTTTTTTTTGTAGCTGATGAACTCACTGCCATTGAAATTACATCACAGGAACTTGAAGACCCAGTGATTAACTCTGGTAGTTGTGATGAAGAAGAACCAGATCAAGTGATCTTCAGATATGAGAGACAAGGCCAATGGGTTGTCAAATTTTGTTTTAAGATGGGACTTAGGTGTAATGCCAGTTTCAAATGATGGAGGAATTTAGAATGTTCCAGAAATATTGGTTATAGAACCCTATAAAAGAAATTCAGACTGCAAATCACCATTAGGAGAGGAAGTGCAATAGGGTCGTTCAAACAGCTCAGAAAGTCTTTTTCATCAGTTCCAATAAACATAGTTTTACTTATTCCAATTTTATTTTTTTAATTTAAAAATTGAGTTTTAAGGCTTTACAATAAGCATTTGTTTGAAAAATTGACCACTGATTCCTTTTGTATAACAAGTTTCAAAGTTTTGATATTGTCAGTCCTTTTTGGGAAAGTCAAAAATTGTATAAATTTACAAAATTTTCAAAAAAATCAAATATATTTGAGAAAAAATGTTAATATTATAGACAAAATAATTCCTCATCCCAAAATAAATAAAGTTTCAAAGTTTCAGGCGTTTTACTGCAAGTTCAAGAAGTATTTTTTATTGCTTTTTTGCCCTATCAGATTTTGTTTCCACTCGTACTTACATGGTGAAATAAGAGTTATTTTACTGATGTACTCCTGTGAAAAAATAATTATTTTAATCTCTAACATACTATAAAACATATTAAGAAGTTTCAATGACTTACCTGTAGAATTGAAATTTATATCATGGTTAAAATTGCCTTATGATATTTTTTGCACTGTTTTTAGGATGGAATGTGATGACCTCCCCCATCCCCATTTAGGCTGGTCTTGTGTAATAATTACTAATTCCATTAGTATTATCTTTCTTTTATGACTTAATGACATTGCATTTATAATGATTTCTTCACTTGTTTGAAGCCTGCATCTTCACATATACACTGTTAAAAGTGGGTTTCTAGCCCTATCACACTCAAGACAGAAAATCTGCCAAACTTTGAATGGTCATAACTCAGTTGCTAATTTTCCTAGCAAGAATAAATTTGGTACCATTTTTATGCTTTGTCAGGTTCTATATCTATTAGATATATTGAAGAAAAAATATTTTGGGATACCGACTAAAACCTTACTTAGAGGCAAATCCATTGGTAATCTAAGTTTTTGTTTATAAAAATTATTAAAGGTGAAATAGCATTGACTGGTGATGAGTTAGCAGATTTTTTATGAATTTAGCTATTGGAAAGGGGAGGTTTATTTTTGATTATGTTAGATGTTTTTTTTTAACAATTAAGCATTTGTTAGCAGGGATGTTGTTATAAAGGGATTTAAGGTCTAAACTAACTATGAGTATGTCAGTCATATTTATATCCCTTAGTTTTTCAACAATGTTGCCTATCTGTGATGGGCTGATTGTTCCAAAGAAATGTTAAAATTTTTATTAAGGCTTTCACCAGTTTGTAAGAAGTGCTACCAATGACTGATATACTGTGTTAATCAAATATAACTTTGTGGCCTATATATTTTTTGTTTTATTTGCAAATAAAAATCTATTTTACACAGCATATTTGCATAATAAAACCTGAACCCCAGTTACAAGAACAAACAAGTTATTATCAATGTTTTTAATAAGGAGAGGTATTATAAACAAATTCTCATTATATATATATATATATATATATATATTGCTTATAAGACTTGAAAATTTTACCAACATTGTTTTTGTTAATGCCATTGTAAAAATCTGTCATTTGTTTGTGAATTTGTTTCTATTTTAGCACCTGTAGGTGTGAATTGTAAGTTGTGGTAGTTGAATAGGGGAAGCAATAAGAAGTAGAATTAAGAAAGAAAAAATTCATTATACATTACTTGATAGAATTTTCAACACAGGATAATCCAAATCTGATTTTGTAAATGATAGCATTTGTCCTTTTGGGTTCTTCCCAGTCAGAAATGCTGCTGGAAAAGCTTTTTAAACTAGTTGTCATGGAATTATCTATGTTTAGTGGTTGATAGTCTGAAAGAAAAAAAAACAAGATTAAACATATAGAATTTTAAAAGATTTGTTTCCTTTTCATTTTGTTTTATAAGACAAAAAACTTATTCACCTGCAACAACAATTTATAAACAAGAGAATATATTTGTGAGAGAATCATATATAATAAGGAATATATTTTCACTTTCCCAGTACCATAAAGTTGCCTCCCTGTGCCTTTTCCTTTCATGGCAATTGTTCGGATGATCTCGCGGGGATCAAGGCAACAGAAGATGTCGATTGACATTACATTTAAATTTTTGAAGATTATAGTTAGCAAGGAAGCAAGTAAGATGAAGGGAGTTCCATTGTTGGTAAGTGCAAGAGACTAAACTATTGGAATAGAAAGAGGTGATTACATTTAATTGTTTTGACAATAAAAGGGTAGGACGGAGATGCCAACCTAGTAGCACATTTAAATTCATGCAGTCGGGGGCACCAGTGAAAATAGCTTGTCAGAGCAGATGCCATGAAAATATTTATAGAAAAGACAGAGGGAAGCCACATTACGTTAGTGAGAAAGTGACTGGAGTTGAAACCCCAAGTCAGAACCAATCACATTGCATATCTGTCCTTGGATTTTGTTGAGAACCTAGAGATGAATAGCGGGGGCACCAGTATTCCATACATGGAAGAACAATCTACCCCTGTAGATTAAATAAAGTGTTCAGTTCAAAATTCCCTGTAAGTTACCTGGATCAACAAGCACCTAAATAAGGCCACAGGGCAAAACGACTGAAACATTATAACAACAAAAGATGAGGACAATGTAAGAGTATCATATATAAGAAATGTATTTGTTAGAGAATCATAATAAGGAATACTGTGACTGTTTCTGTGTGTTCATTTTTGTCTGTAATATTTATTACACTAAAGCAAACAGAAAATTAAGAAATGAATTTTGCCTCTTAATCATCATTGTTACACGCAATGAATGGTGACTTTTTCTATTTGTAAATTCTGTCAGACTAAGGCAATAAGATTATCAAAATTAACAAGTGAATTCAGCTTAGATGTGAATGCCCAACTTGGAGTTAGTAAGCAAGTGAGACACCCACTATGTCAGTGTTCTGCTGCTTGAACAGCACAATTAAAATTAACTTAATTTGGTTTGGTTCGGTTTACAGCAGATCAATCTCAATGGGTTATTTAATACTGACAAGAATTTTAATGCCGGTAATATTTTTTTTCAAAATTGTATTGCTTGTAATAATTTTTTTCTTCAAAAATTAATTGCTGGTAATTAGCTTTTACAAAAACGTATTGCTGGTATTAAAGCCTATTTTTACATTTCCATAATGTTTTGACCCCAGTTTGGGGGTCAACTATTTGACCATAGCAGGGACACTAACAGGTGCTATCACCCGGCATCAGGGTGGACTTGGGAACACCAGCAATTAAGTGGTGGTTCCATGCTCCTCAAAACATCCTGATCAGAGGCTTGCTGTTGGTTGTAGTTTATTGTCTTATCCAGGACAGACACAAATACTACACTAATCCTAGGCAGAGGGCACAAAACCAACACTTTGATCCTAGGTTAATCAATAGGTAAAGATTCTCATCATTTTTTATAGGTACTATACTTTGATAAAAAAGATATTGTTTAATATTTTTTGAACATCTTTGGACACTGTGTGGAGAGCATTCATTTTAAACAATCTGGTTGGTGTAGGAGACAAAAAAATGAAATGGTTGTTACATTTTTTTTCATCTAAAATGATGCTTTATATTATCTTATCCGAGTTAAATGTATTTTTTGGTTTAAGCAATTTACTTGACCTCCCTACTAAGGCAGGATGTGACACAATGTCTCTTTTAATTATGTTTGGGGGAGGAGTCTCATACACATACGTATGTGCCAACGATGATAATTGCTTAGTTCCCGTGACCACTGTCACAGTGATGTTGATAAAACTCATCTTTTTTTAGGGAAATGAGGAAGGTGCTACTGCTGCAGGGTTGGAATCCTTAGAACAGGGGCACCTTCTCCCACCTCAAATGAGGAGAAAACAAATACTATGCTTTGATCCCAGCCTAATGCCAATTTGCAAACTCAAATTAATGTTTGATAACAAAAGTTCCATTTTTGTTGAGACTACAAATGTTTATAATTGGTCAACCAAGAAAACTTACCTGGGTCATCTTCATCCACAATATAGTTCAGCAAGTAGTGGATGTTCATCACTTCCCAGTGGAAATCTGTAAATTGGGGACTGACAGACGATCGATGTTCAACTGCAGACACAAGTTCAGCAATCAACTTTCAAAAAAAAAAAAATTACAATTCATTTTATTGTATATATTTTGTAATTTATTAATGTCATAAAATGGGTGCATGGCAAGGTTAGGGTTTCTTTCTCACCATTAGACGTAGTTTTGAATCTCACCATGAACAATTTGACTTCCTTATGTCATTAGCCAGTGCACAGCACCTTTGGAAAGTGCTTGTAAACCAAAACCATGAATCAACCGAAGCCATGCGAGTGAAATTGAGTAGCCAGAACCGTTTGGAAACCATCACATGTCATTATGAGTAAGGTTTCTGGTTAAAAAAAACTCATACCAAATGACATCCCCTCTCTCTCTCTCTTATAAACTGTAACCAAGGACAATCAGCATAGTTGTAGTCTAAACCAAAGCTGAGCTCAGTGGGTGGAGCAGACACCTTCCTTTAATAGGGTTTAACTAACCACTCTGGTAGATAGGTGTGCTCAGAAACGAGTAGAAGCTGCTATTATTGCCATAAATTTAACATTTTTAACTTATACAGTTTGCTTTTAATTTTTACATATTATTGTCTATACCTTTTGAAATATCACTCTCTCTAAAGTCCTGTAGATTCCACTGTGGAGGACAGGGTCAACAGCTCTCAATATGTTAGGTGCTGCTGCTATGGTTTTTGTAGAAAGATTTTTGCAGGATCAATTAGACCAAACAGTTTTAAATTCAGAGTTGTCCTTCTAGACTGGTTGCCAGCCAAGACTGAGAAGCCCAGTCTACCCTACTATTTAAACCATAGTGGGAGGGAGAAGAGATGGATTCATACCTTTCCCCAAGAGTATTTATACAGAACTGAATGTAACAAACTCAAATAGAATTCAAACTTGGTTTGCTGATTTCTCATTCTAAGATACTAACCATTACATTGCCTGCATATCATTTGAAATATTAATTCTAAGTGAAAAATAAGAGGAAGTTTGAGATGTTCATTTTGAATAAGAAACATGGAAATAATTTCCTCTTTATTCTAATAGTCTAAAATCTCAAGTTTTTGTGCTTTTACCTAAAGCTCTCTTCAAAGACTCAAGAGTGAAGACATTTGCCTTTATAAATAATCTATTCTTCTCACCTTAGCTGAAATATTTTCATGGAATAATTTGCTTATCCAGTCTTCACCAACTTGATGCTGTAAGAAAACAAACAATTCACTTGTTAAATTTCTGTGAGTCATAAAAATGAGTGGGTCAATAACACTATTTCTTTTGTAATAAAGTGATGAGTCAGATACAACAGAACAATCTTCATTATTTAGGGAATTAACTTTTACTAGCTTTGTAATTTGCTCACCTTAGGTTTGGCACAAGGTTATGGTTCTTTTCTTTAACCTTTTAAATTTTAATTCATAATGAAATGCTATTCATAAGTGATTTTTTTTAAATTTCTTATTCAAATATTTTACATAACACATTAGATTTTCTCATTGTGCTATATAATTTCTGTAAAAAAACCTTCACAAGTCAAATCTCAAAAGAAATTTCACAAATTTTGATCAAGTATAAATCAAAAAGTAAGTAAGTAAAAAAAAATAAAAAAATAGGCCGATTTTGATTTTGACCCATTATTTCTAAGGAACAATTACAAATGTAGGTTATTTTACCAATAGATTTCTTGACGTATGCTGCACTCTTCAGCCTAATATAAATTCTCAGTAGCAAATATTAAATTTTAAGTTCTTTTTAGCGTGCTAAAAGAAAAGATATTTTGGATTCCAATAAGACTTCAGTACCAGTCTAATGCTATACAATTCCTGATTAGTGTTCCATAGACAGTATTAAAGAGAATCAAAGAAATAATTTTTTTTATTAAAATTAATCATTACTGATTTTATTACAAACTTTACTTTTTTTCTTTTTTTATGTCCCCTTAAAATGTAATAACAGAAAAAAAGTCCAAGTAAAACTAAAAATAAGAAATGTTTATAATGAAATGTAGCAATTAAAAAAAAAAAAACAACAACTTACTTTAAAAAGATCAGCTGCAGGTGGGAATTTTTCAATACAATAAGTCAAACTTTGTATGGCTTGTTCTGGACACTGAAAAAAAAAGAAAATCATTTCAATTTACAAAGTTTTTTTACAATTCATTTTAATAAATTTTATGAATTTTGAAATTGAATGCTACTGATGAGGATTTTCCAACAATAAAATATAATCACCAGTTGGTTGATAAGAAAATGAAAAATGTTAAAGATAACAGAACACATTCTATGCAAAAATACAAGTCTGAATAGAAATTTAATTTTATTGCAATGACCCTAAACTAAATATAAAGCAGAAACTGATTAAATTTTAAGAAATCTTTTGTAAGAAATTTAACCAGTCAAAAAAGAAAAAAATCTCATGGTATAAAAGTCAATTTTACTTTTTATTTTAAATTTATTTACAAATTGATTTTTAAGAAAGAAACTTACACAGGTGATATTAGAGAGACACAGATGGATGAAGGAGTTTAGAAATGGAGTGTCAAAATACTTGGAAAGATTCTTCTTATCAGAAATATGTTTCATCATGATGGAAAAAGTATGAAACCCCATCATTCGTACTTCTATCTGTTGATGAGGCTGAAAAGACAAGAATAATAATAAAAAAAAATATATATTTTTAATAAATTAAGCCACCAAGTAAATTTTTGTTGGATAATATTGAATTGGGATGTGTGATTTTTTTTTTTTTTTACTGTATAGCGTCAAGTACAATTTTATCTTGGGTTGCAAGAGAAAATTAGATGCTCTTTATAAAGGCGTATGAAAACCTTACTTATTCTAATCATAATTTAATAGTTATACACTGGGATTTCATAAATAAATGTTTTATTTTTCAATGAATGCCTACCATCAGAGTCTAATTTCTCTTAATTTCAGGGGAGTAAATTACATGTAAATTCATTTATTTCAACATTGGCATGTTGCAATAGGAAGTAGTGAGAAACTTTTTAAGTACTACATTCAATATATATATATATATATATATATATATATATATAAAAGCTTCTTATAAAGAGATTATGAAAAATTTCTTCAAATGGTTCTTTTTCTGGGAAAAACTAAAACTGTATTATTGCAGCTGATAAAATGGAAGGTTTCCATGATTTTATAATTCTTATCTGTTGGCAATATGTAGATACATCAATAAGCCTGATCAGAGAAAAAGCATTTATTTTATATAACAAATATTTTTTTAAGAATCTCCTCTCTTATCAATGGACTTAATTCAGTCAAAAATATTAATCACAAAGATCAAACATTATGCAGTGAATATTTCAGATCAAGTTTCAGTGAATACATGGTACAATGAGTAAATTGTTGCCATTTTTGTATTTTAATTTTGCACATGCACATTATTTTTTATTTTGTCAACTGCACAATATAGTAGGGTCAGTTGGGCACCATGAAGTAATTCACTTTTCAGAATTTGGGAAACAGCATGCTGTACTGCTTGGCATTTGTGCTGAAAGCTCCAATACAAACATTTCAGAGTGTTTGAGTATTAATCTGAGGACAGTGCAGAGGATTCAGAAAGAGTTGGATGAATCTAATGGTGATTACAAAGATGCTTGGAGTGATCACCAGTGATGGTGACATTATTCCTCCATTCATCTTTCCACAGGGTCTCAGACAGGGAGGCCTACATCAAGTGTCTTGAGAAGATAGTACTGAATTGAGTCAAGAGGGTGACTGCTGGAAGACCCTATGTCTGGCAATAGGACTCTGCACCATGTCACACAAGTAGGAGAACCAGTCATGGCTGCCAGACAATTTCTGCAACCATATCACTCCTTACATCTGGCTACCTAACTTCCCAGACTGCAAACCCCATGATTATTATGTGTGGGGCACAGTTGAGCGAGATACCAACAAAACTCCTTGTAACACCAAAGATGAACTGATGGTAAGGATTATGGCAGCATTCATAATCTTAAACAAAGAGACTGCTCAGAAGAGTTGCAGGAGATTCCGAAGTTGTCTGGAGGTTGTGGTTGAAGCCAATGGTGATTTTATTGAATAAATTTACTCTTTAGTATTTGAAAATATTTTTTGTGTAATTTTGGTAAATATGTGTTAAAATGAGATCTCAGTGTTATCTTATTTTCACTTCTATGTAATATGGACGACAATTTATCCATCGCACTCTGTATACTGAGTGTGAGGTTACAGAATGTTACTGAATTTCTAGGATAAGGAATTTACATTTTTAACAGTCAGACTAATGTCCTGATCTTTTCTGTTACTATGACATTTAAGCCATTGTATTTACTTCAGGTGTTTTCACATGGCATGCCTAGTTGGTGATTGTAGCTACAGAAAAGTGAGAAAGGATCCAACAATATAAAGAGAGAGGAAAATGTTACAGATCCTAAATAGGAAGACAAAACTACTTCACAATTAATAAGTATAGACAGTTGATTCAGCATTACACTAAGCCACATATATATAGTCTTTCCACATTTCAAAGAGGTTGGTATTCCATTGAGACTTATAGACAGCTGCAGATGTTCAACATGCCACCTACCGAGCAGATTCCTGGCAGATATAGTCAACCCACTAACAGGAAATTCCTTATATGTTAAAAACTCAAACTACTTTCTATAATTTGAGGTACTCCTATTCACAACAATCAGATGGTAAGCTTGAATGTAGTGCACCTATTAAGGTTTCCTACAAATAAAGTTCTGTCAGCAGTTTGAAACATCAGAATCAGGCTCCTTGATAGATAACTGAAGGGAAATGCTATCATTTGATGTATAATCAACATTTTTTGTGAAGTGGGTAGCCATGGTCAAATGCAAAATAACAGAAATGGCCAACAAACAGAATTGACAAAGTTTGCAACAAGAAAAAGAAAAAATCAGGGCAATAAATAATATAAACCAAGCAAACAATATATGCAAGGCAAAGCAACAGTAATATGGCAAAAAGTTCAAACTAAGAATTAGGGTTGACACACAAAAGCAAGTTTGGACAAGTGAAGACAGACTGGGACTATGTCTGATGAAACCGAAAATTGGCCTATTTTATTGGTTAGGAAAAAATCCCAGCATGCATTTGTGAATTTCTGCCTACAAATTGGGGAGGAGCAAGTGTTTTGCAGTCATTTCCAACAAAGATATTTTTATGTCATGGGTGTTTTTGTAGGTTCACTGTGAATATGTGATATTGTGATATATGTCAGATTGAATGGTGTTGGAATGGTTCTTGTGGTGAATGAGCCATGATTCTGATTGCCTAGGCCTAGGATAATTAATGTGACCAGCCCTACCCTCACTTCCCCTTTGGCCTTGTGCCACAATTGTTTTGTCAAAAAAAAAAAAAAAAAAAAAAAAAAAAAAAAATGACAATAACTAATCATTCCTAACAAAGACTGAAACCAACACTTTCAGTTAGAGTCCAACACATACCAGCAGGAGGATTTGTGATTATCACCAATGATGGCAAACACACACAAACTATAATGGATAAAATTTCAAAAATATTTACACATTTGTCTCAAATAATTTTATCAAACTTTTAAGTGAAATTTTACATTTACATATAAACAATAATTTTAGTGCTAAATGTGTTATTTCTCATTCAGGCAGATTATACAGATGCACAAATTCTTGACATTTACTTGAAAAAAACAAATTACTTTTCAACAGAATTTTTAAAAAACTAAGTAAAATTTAAAGAGATTTTTGATAATTTGTAATTTACCTTAAGACAGGAGAGCGTCTTTTCAAGCCAATATTTTGCATAATCAGCCAGGATTTCTGTATTGCATTGGCAAGCTGCACGTTGTAGAAGTAACATACCAAACCACCTGCAAAATGCAAAACAAATTTCTTTTACTACTTTTATGAAAAAAACAAAACAAAACATAGTAACAAACCATTACTTTCTGAAATCATAAGCTTATATCTGTAAACACATATGATCAGAGTATATAAGAAATGAAAACAAACACTTACTTGTGAACAGGAGATTCCAATAAGGAATGAACTTCTTTGAAAACTTTTTCCAGTGCAGCACATTTCTGAAAATTCAAATAAAATGTGATCAGTTTTGCTTGTTTACAGAAAATATCTACTAAATTGTTCAGCAAGTATTGCATATCATATTTCTCCTTTATGTTGTGTAAAGTTTATAAGCTTCCAGTAAAACAAAGAATTAATCAGAAATCTTTATTTATTCTGCACATACTTTAGATCCATAGTTAACACAGAGGGGCAATTTGAGAATGATTTATTAACAGTGATATTTTAGTATTTCTGTGAGTATGAGTGTGTAATTAATACATATGGTGCATAAACAGTTATGCATACATAAAAATGTGTGTATGTATGTATATGTGTAATTATATATGTACTGTATATAATATATATAACACAAAATTTTTTTTTATTAATATTGTAAAATTCTAAAATTAAATGATTACATATATGCAGGTTCAAGTTCCTAAGTTAAGGAAAGCCTTTAATCTTCCTCCATGTGAATAGGAGTTCACTTTTTGAAAAGAGTGGGTATCGGAATTTTAGAGATGGGGGTATGGCAAAAAAAAAAAAAAAAAAAAAAAAAGAGAGAGAGAGAGATTGGGAACTACTGCTCTAGGCTCTTCTCTACAAATTCATTTTCTGTACATTTCTCATAATTCTTTCTTTTACCTAAATGCCTTCAGCTATTTAATTGAGAAAGATGAATATTGTGTGCAAATATATATCTCCCTTTCGTGCCATGTCCTTTCAACGACATAAGACAATGACTAATCTCCAAAGTTTCTTTTCATAATTATCTGGGAATTGCCATGCATTCTTGGGAAAGATAGTGGATCGGTTTCTCATTGCCTCCTGTATAGAATTCAGAGTTTTCATTTACTTAGAATGGTTGCTACACCAAGCTAGAGAAGGCCCAGTATACTTTGCTATATAACCCATAACTGGAAGAAAAGAGGCATTTGTGTGGGAATGAATTCAGTAGACTATGCTTGAATTTGAACTTGGCTCATCAGGTTCATTTTCCTCTGCTGATATCTGTTACACTACTCAAATATCCTATCTGTTCTTACATTATATCAAATATCAAAGAAGTTTTGTAGAATTTAAGAAACACAGAGCCAATTAAGTTTTTCTTTAAAAGGTCATAATTTCAAGGGATTTGAGGATTCACATGACGACTTTTTATAAATATTATCAAAATATTATTTCAATACTTTTCCCATAGATTAAATGTTGCAAACCTCTCACTATTCTATTGCTATTTCCATGGCAAATGGTCTGACAAGCAACATTACTTAGTTCCATCACTTCAGACTTTCACAGTCATGACCCAGCATGTCACATATACTGGGATGAAGCCTTTATATTCTATTAATAAGAAGGAAGTTTGCTGCTTTATATTAATGATCTGCCTAAGAGCGTGCTCTGATTTCTTATGAATATCTATACAGATGATACATGGTAACACCTCCAAAAATCTAGATGACCAGAGACTGGCAGCTCATCTTTCCTCTGACCAAGCTTTAACACCTTAGTGTGTGTGTGTGTGTGTTTTTTTTTTTTGGGGGGGGGAGACTTATATGTTACATTCATTACCTCAAAAATTAAATTTATAACATTCCCTCATCACTGAGCAGCCCCTGAATTACTGTCTAGTGCAATGAACGGGTGTTCTCTCAAAGAGATCCCCCAATACCTTTCCATAAACATGTATTGGGACTTAAGCTCACCCCAGACACCAAATGGAACATTTATATGCAACCCATTACTAAAGATGCTGGAAAAATGATCAGTTTCTTGTGCCACTCCAGTGAGTACCTGACTCTTCCCGCTATACTCTACCTTTACATGAGCTAGATTAGGCCAAATATAAAGTACTGCTGCCAATATCTGGGCTGGAGCTGCCCAGTCTTGGTAGAGTTCAAGTGTCTATGCAGCCTTGTGGGTGATGAATTGTTTTCCACTTTACAACACCTTTCCCACAGATGAAACATTACAAGCTTCTCCCTATTCTATCACTATTTCAATGAAAAATGCTCAAACAACCTACATTCCTTAATTCCCCCAACTCTAACCTTCCCAGCTAAGAACCACCATGCTGTGTACACTGAGGCAAACCACCTTCATTCTCTTTGTATTCCTTTAGTAAGGAGTAAGTTCTGCTCAGATAGCTTCTACACAAGAACTGTTGCTTGTGGAACACAATCCTAGGAGGATGCTTTTCTGATCTTAACCTCTTCAAGTCTAAGGTTAAACATTATCTTTTACACATATACACATAACTGTAGCTCTTACTCTTACCACTTATGCAACAACCACCTTAAATAACCCTCTACCTTGAGTGGCCTTTGGGCCTTGTATGAGGTGAACATTAGTAATGAAAAAAAATTTTTTTGACAGTTTTTTGTGGAACAAACTCCCCAAAAGGATGCTTCCCATTTGTATAATCGTTAAGCTTAGAGTTAAACATTATCTTTACATATAATTCGCACTTCTTCCCTCTTCCTCTTATGCTCATACAACCTCATTCTGTAACACTCTACCTTGAGTGACTCTTGATCCCTGTATCAAGTGAATAATTAGTAAAATAAAAAAAAGAAAGAAAGAAAATGTACATTTTTAGAGATCTGATAAGTATTAAAAAAAAAGTATAAGATCAGTTGGAACAATAAAGAAGAAAACTGATTTGAACTGAAGATTTCTTCCTTCTGACTAGTAAATCTTATTGGCCATTTGCTGTGTCCAAAATGCTTTTCACAAACTAGAAACATTTGCTTTGGATTGCTTTATCTCACCTCATATTCTGAGCAAACATTTTCTCACAGTTTATTTGAGTAATTGTATACATAATTTAGTGTTGTGAAAAAAAAAAATAAATAAATATAAGTATATAATTATTCAAACAAATTTATTGGTTAAATTATTTTATGAAATTAGCTACTTTCCAAGAAAAAAAAAGTGAAAACAAAAGTTTAAAATGCATTTTAAAAATGAAAAATCTTTCTTGTAGCTTTTATTTTAGTTTTCATTCCAATAGTTTCAAATTAACTCTAATAAGCAAAATACTTTACTATATTTGAAACTGAATTTAAATTGAGACAAATATATCAACACAACATAATTCTCTTCATTAAAAAGTCTTTCCATAATAAAATGTACTTTTCTGAAATTTTGAAAATATCAGCTGATTAAAACAAATATTACTTAAAATAATATTGCAGAATTGCATTTTTTTTAACACAGAGGTGGGTGTTTTATGAGGTGTTGATTAATTTATCAATAGTTTAAATGTTTGGCAAATTTAAGTAACGGGTATATAACTATAAAAATTACTTGAATATAATATGAACAACTTTTTTTATGTCATTTTTTTTTTAACTACCCATTAATCTTTAAAATTTAGGAAAATTTTCTAAATAATATTTATTATCGAATTTAGCCTTACGAAGATGCTTATTGAGGAAATGTTACAAAATTACCAATAAATTTTAAATTTACTATAGTTATCAATCTTATTTTCTGATATTGCGATGTATGGACATCCGTACATACAAAAATCAGCACATTTATAAAAACAAAAAAATTCAACATTCTTTTCAAAATACTGGGGGCTGGGGTTGCTGAACTTTAGTATGCTTTTCATTTTCATTAATGATGAGTAAATAAAGTTGTTTTAATTTTGTTTTGTTTTTTATGGTGCCCCATTTATCCAAGAAAACCAAAATTTCGAAGGTTCTAAAAAAAAAAAAAAAAAATGTTTAAAAAATATAATTTAATACTTTCGTCTAGTCTTAAAGATTTTGACGATAATTTTTTTTTTTTATTAAGTTTTTTTTTGTGCATTTTTTTCATCATGCATATTCATTTTTTAGAGAATCTTTGGAGAAAAATATTATCGCCTTTTTTTTTTGTGTGTGGGGGGTACTTATTGTTTAGATTACAATTTTTTTATCCATTGACTTATTTTATATCACAAACAAAATACATGAAATATCAAAGTATTTTGTTCCTTTATATTAGGAATATAATAAAGGAAAACAAAAAAAAATTGGGTGGCAATACTGCACATAAAACCTATTTCTACTCATGAAAGAATTTATCAATAACAAATGCTTTCTATCGTTTTATTTCAGCAATTTATTTTGCGCCGCTAACCTAAGATTACCATTTATTTATTCGAACTAGATGAATTTTTATTTTTATTTTTGTGGAACTTCCTGAGAAACACAAAGAAAAATATCAACCTGACAAACAGTTGATCTTGATGTTCGGTACTGTTCTTTGAAAATACGAATCGGAAATATTGAAAATTTCTTTCGTATTTTATTTATTTGAGCTTAATTATAAGAATTTTACCAAAAAATTATAAAAATATACAAAATGAAAAACTGAAAAAGAATTATTTAGCATTGTACAATAACAGCAAAAATAAAAAAAAATATATAAAAAAATGATCAGCAATAAAAATTACGATAATTTAACAACAATAAACATGATGTTCTATTGTGTCGCAGAGGAATATTTACTTACAAAAAAGTCAACAAAAATGAGAAAAAATTAAAAAATAGTCTGATCATATTTTGTTTTGATTTTACTGTTATTATTTAAGCATAGATGCTGGGTTTTGTCTTGAAAAAAGGCAAAGACTGTCACGGAAAAAAGGGGTGAATTAGTTTTTTCATCTCTTTATTTTCATCAAAGCCTGTGATTCAAGAACCTTATTTTTTTTTTTTTTTAGGAAATTATTAACGTGTTTTGCTTACATTTAACATAAAAGCACTATATGACCCAAATGGAATACTTCTTACACGGCACATTTAGCACAAATTTTTCTTCACTCGTCGTATAGATTTTCGTTCAAACTATTTTGAACCAATGATGGAGTGGAGACACGTGCTAAAGAAAGAAATGAAATGCCGGTTCAGGACTTCAAACTTCAAGAAGCAAATAATTAAATTCCTACCTCATAAGAGAATAGTTTGTATTCATCGATGAGACGCAAGAGATGGTACTTATCGTTGTTAGGCTCTCCCAGGCGAGCCAATTGATGCTGCACTACACTACACAAAACCGTTTCATCACAACCTGACGCCATTTTGTTATGCCACTCTCCGTAAAACACGCCGCAATGCCATCTGTAAAAAAAAAAAGAAAAGATTACTAAGGGAGATAATTATAGAGTTGTGCTACTTGTTTTTTTTTTTTTTTCAAATTTAATATAAATATTATATTTCCTGATTTATTCAGAAATAACTTCTGTAAAATAACTTCAATAAAATTGACTGCATAAATGTGATTGTAGAAAAGAGGGGAATTCTTATCTACCCTTTCCCTTAATTCAGAACTAGGGTTCACTTTTCTTTTTTCTTTTTTTAATTAAACTTGATAATTTGCTTAGTGATAGGAATGCCCAGAATAAAAAGTGTGAGTCTTACAAGCAGGAGATGGTTTAATTCAATACGGGAAATCTTAGTTTTTCGTGCTTTAGCTTTAAGTAAAAATAAACACAGGTCCTCGTCGACTTACGACCGTTCGACTTTACGACAACGACGGGGAATTGATACCAGTGGCGTAGCTAAGGGGGGGGGCCGCCCCGGGTGCCAGCACAGGAGGGGGTGACAAAATGTCACCCCCCAACAAAATTTTTCAACCAGACTAAGGTGCCAAAAATAGTCTGAAAACAGTGGTGGAGACACAGGGTTTCGCAGGCGGTCATATGACCCCCCAGAAATAATTTATGACCCCTCCCAGTTTTGTCCCCCGTCAGAAATTTTCTATAAATTGTCGTGAAATTTGTGAGTAGGAAAAATAGCAATGTTTTCAGCTTTCATGTGTTTCAGTTGCTACAATCTTGGTTACTAACAAGAGACATTGTTGTAACATCGGATGATATGGTGTTTTAACTCTGCATCATTTATTAACAACAAATCGAAATACGAAGCCAAAAGTGCAACAATTTCAGTCTTGCCTGTGTATCAATTCGCTGAGATACAATTTTCCATTGAGTGAGCGATATACTTTTGAGTTTTGAGGTTGGGACGATTAATCGGAATCGGAATCGAGAATCGGAAAAATCGGAACTTTTGGGGGTATCGGAAACGGTATCGGAATCGGAAAAATTTGTGCCTATTTTCCGATTCCAAAAACGATTCTTTAAAAATTTTAAACTTAATTTTCCATTATTGGTACTAATGATAAATATTTATTGTTTTTATCACTAAAACTAAAATCATAACATCAAAATGTGATGTAAATTTATTTTACTTGTATAAAGAAAAACAAAAAAATAAATTTTGCATAAATTCTCTAGGTAAAAAGAATGCAGTTGATTTACAATGTTCCGAAAAATTCTTAAAAATTAAAAGTACAGTTTTGTCAAGAAAAATACTTTCAAACATCATTGATTGGTACCCAGAAAATGATGCAACGGAAAATTGGACACCGGAAAATTAGCAACAGAAAATTACGTCAACCATGAGCCAGTCGAGACTGTCGGATCTCGCTGTGCTGTCCATTGAAAACGAGCTTACAAGACAAACAGATTTTGACGATGTCATTGACCAGTTTGCCACAATGAAAACAAGAAAACATTCATTCTAAGACCATAGTATCGAATGTCATTCTTTTGTGTATTGCCGTGTTTTGTATTTAGTTGTTCTGAAAGTGAACAGTTGCATTTTAAAAATCTTTTGATTTGAACTGATTATTTTGTGGTATTAGATTTTTTCTTGGATCATACATGTAACAGTAACGTTCCGGTCAGTAGAGTAGGTAGAGCATGTATGAAAATTTAGCTACAGCTTACCATACAGCATAGGGTGAATCGGGGTCATTGGGGTGACATTTGAGCGGACCGCTCTGGGTGACGTTTAGCTACGCCACTGATTGATACGTCTGGCTGTATGAATTTTGGTATGTTTTGCAACTAAAATATTTTCTGTTTTTTTTACACCTATATTTTGTTTTAGTTTTTATTTGCATGTTTATCAAATAAACCAACTGTATTGTAGTATGCAGTGTTTGACTTAAACCGGACGAACGTAAAAATAAGAAACAAAACAACGTTTTAAGAGAGATGATACAAATGAAAGAAATGTTATCAAACGTAAAGAAATAGTAAAATTATTTTAAAAATTTACTATAAAGCCTAAAGAAAGATTAAAAAAATTTCAAAATTAATTACAGACCGTTTAGGATGCATTTTCTCAGAAAACCTTCTCCCTGTTTTGTTACCAAGCTTAACGATACAATATTTTTAAATTTTACCTTTTTAAAATCAAATACTGTGAAACTTCTATTGAGCCCCCTGGAATTAATTTGTCGACCATCGTTGTGTGTCGCATTGCGACTTTGTTCCCCCAAATTACACTGAATAAATATTAAATAACAATAATCTTCTTCAAAAATCAGGGTATACTTTCGTTAGGCCACAAGTAGAACTCTATATGTTTCGGAATTTTGTTTGAGTATATAGTTGTAGTCGAATATCGTCTACTCAAAATGTATCAAGTATCTGTTATAGCTGCCTTCTGGGAATTTCAAATTCTTTACTCAAACAAAATCCAAGAAGGCAGATTTATGGAGCGAAAACGGAAATAAACACCAAGGCAGTCAATCATCAAATGACAAAAAAAAAAAACAAAAAAAAAAAACTGGTTTCTGAATCGGAGGATTCGAGCATCCTTCCGGTTAATAAATTAATCCTTTGAAAATAAATACTTAACATTTTACAACCGACAGGTCGCGTTCCCGCCGACAATAAAAAAAAAAAACATGTTCATGATCCCTATAAGCAAAGTTTATAGACCAGACAAGCCAGTAAGGGAATAGAGACGGATACATGCGACATCAGTTCACGACGGAGGCCTCAAAGAGATTCCTTTTCTCATTCACCCATTTTCTTCACAAAGCTACGTGACACTTACACTCTTCCTCACCAAGCTTACATTTTATTCCTCACTTTCTCCGTTGTCTCTTTTCCACACATACACGCGAAGAAATCACATTTCTTTTCATCTTAACAAACAACTAAAACAAGGAACTCATACACGCTGAGAAAAACTTAGTTGTAAAAACACAAAAATAAAAATATTTTATATTTAAAAACCTTTCTTGTCTTTTTCTTTGTTGTGGATTAATTTAAACCACAACAGATTGCCCATGCTTGAAACCACTACCAATTCGAAAGATCATATGTGCTACTGCGGTTACTTGCCTGCCTTGGGCTATTTTGTCCGGAGAGACCTACCCACTAAAACTCAATGCTGACGACTGAAGACGGCCACAGAGGCTAAAGGAGTCCGATGTTATCAGCAGTGGTCAAGACAGCTACCCGATGAAAACTTGTACTCCTACTATGCGATTAAACTTATATGCGTATATATTTCCTCATCTGAACTTTCACTACAACTATGATGCAATACCAACATCTACGTTGCAGTAGAAATCCGACACAAACTCTTTCATCATTTCTGCATTTCGCATGACACGAAAGCTTAAATAAACTATCCTTTTCATTTTAATAACGCCTCATCTCCATTGTCATTAGTTACCTGTCATTGCTTTTCTGTTAGCGTGAGTTATTGTAAAATTATTTTTAATAAAACAGACATTAAATTGTATGAAAATTGTAAGAAAATTAGAATGTTACTAACACGGTTTCTTTGAAAAAGAAACCAACAAAATGAAGACTGATAATTCATGTACTTTTTAGTACATGGATAAAAATTCACGTGAAAAAGAATTCGAACAAAAGAGGCTTCAAAATGGTCATATAAGAATGCTAAAATGAAATCAAACGAATTTTAAACATTCTGTGACAAAGATTTACAAAATGAGGATGAATTTTGATGTTGTCAAAAACCCGTAAAACTTTAGTTGCGAACGGGCGTAGTTTGATTGGACAGTGATTCTCGAGTTTTTAATCAATGGGGTAGAAATTAAGTTGAATTTTAACCCGTTCAGTGTGATTTTTGAATCCGTTCTGGGAAATTTTGTCTGCGAAGTCAGAAAGGATTCGACTCAGGCGAGAAAGGCTATGATCCAGGACGAGAAAGTCTTTCCACTATTTCTGTTGAAAAAGAAGACTCTTCTAAATGCCTTTTCTAAACACGTGAGGGTTAATCTTACATTTGAGAACACCTGCTCCAATAACCTGAATAGTTTGTCTAAAGGGTCCAGAGAACCAGCTTTGCCTGAGATAATGTTTTTTCACCCACTTCGGCCTTTCGAATTTGGGAATTTTTCGAAGTAAGCAATTTTCTTTTGTTGTTTGAAAAATGTAATTTATATAAAATATATAAGAAAGTAAGTAAAATTCCTATGTTGTTAAGGAAAAAAATAAATGAAAACAGATTTGTATGTCAAAGAACTGTTAATCTGCCTTGATAGTTTGAATCGCGCTATGGAAATTTTGTGCAAGTCCTATATTGTATTTTTACAATTTGTATATTGTAAAATTAATTTTTGTCATTTTACTAAATGTTTGTTTTTTTTTACAAATTTCACTTTGAATAAAAGTCTTGTTTTTTTTTCGTTAGCGCTTAAGTAAACGGAAGAATAATACACTTGAAATTCCCCATCCTCTTGAATTTCCCCTTTTCTTTCTGTTATTCTTTCTTTGACTATAGTACGCTAAATAGCACGCTCGAACATAGCCCTTTCATACTTGCCAGTACTGTAGCTGCAGTAACAGATCCCAATCTTTTGTCGACTCACCTTTGATGTAAAATATATAGGCCGTTGCAGTTTTCGGACTATTGCCATCGACTTTTATATCCATGTCTGTGGAAGCTGATTCTATGCTTGCTGGTTAGTCTGAAGGCTAATTTTAATAATAATAATTATTTCTTGTTGGTATGGACCTGTGTCATCTTTCATGGGTTTTGCTCAAAGTTGTATGGACGGTGGGAATTACATTCATCTATTATCAAGTAAATATCAACTATATGGAAATCTTGAACCCGCACTCTCTGTAAGTTGTTAGTACATCTAGAAACAGGGCCGACTCAAGGTAATGGCAACTCGGGCAGTCTCCTGGGGCACCAGTAAGGCTGGGGACTCCATCATGCCACCATGTCATGTGTTTGGGATCTTCCAAAATTAATGCTTAGTCCCGTTACTTTTCAGAAAAACCTCGTATGTATTCAAATGTAGCAGTCGTCTACTTAAACATGTAGATGAACGTAATATGCATGTTTTAGTGTCAATTCAGGAGTATGTGGACGCCTAAGGTCATCAGTGAGTCGTAGAAGGAGGTTGGTAGTGTATGAATTTATGCGAAAATATGTGGGTCACGCTTGTGTCATATTTCGGTACTGGGTATGTTACGATGGTCGTAGCATCGGAGAATGGATAAAATTAGTTCATAGATTCTGATTTAGGGTGATTTTCCATTTCAATATATATACATTTAGAGATCCGTTTTGAAAGTGCCGTTTTACTTTTCATTAGCTCACGATTAGTGTCCTTATATCCTGGTTGAGAGCAGCTCTTGCTTTTGATTCGCTCGATAAACTTATGTTTGTACAGTGGTCGGGATAGTTTCTAATTGGTTGGTCGAAATATGACTTCATGGCCTAGCGGTTCTGAATATACATCTATTTTTAGAGATGGTGAAATTTTGGTCTCATTATTATTTATCTTGAACAATAGCATATATACTTAGCATACTGTTCCAAAATGTATGCTTCTATGCCTGGAGCAAGAAGGCAATATGGTGTTCTCATATGTTGTCCGTGCTACTCGACATGCTCTTCAAGACTCTCCTACATTGATCAGTACAAAAGCTAGGCCTATTCCTCATGGAATATTTATGGAACGACACCTGACTCGTTCAGTTAGCTGACCTACAATTTTTTGTGCACTGCACCAGGAAAGGAGAAAGGTGTGAAATAATGTATCACATGGTGTTATTTACTATCTGTATGATTGTATGTACGCATGAGTATAGACCTATGACAACGCCCAATGAAGATATACTGTATATTAATATTAGGTCTGAATATTGTTGACACTACTTATTTTGGGACCTATTCACATATTGATCTCTATACGTGATAATCTACTATAATCCAGCTATATTATCTCATAGACTTACCAAGATATTCTAGGGAATATGACTAAATGATGTTTATTTTTCAACATAGTCCCCTTTGCAGTCTACACTCTTCTTCCATCGGTGTTGCATTGTTTGGCTCCTATTGGTTAAGAAGCTTTCATCCAGTTGGTGAAAATCATCAACGGCAGGTATGACGTCATCATCACTCCAATACTGGTCCCCAGCCAAGTATTGTTTTTTCATGTTGGGGAACAGCTGATAGATGTGGCCAAATCGGGAGAATAAGGTGACAGATCAACCAGTTCAAAATCACTGTCACACATAGCAGCCATTGAAACTAAGGACATGCGTGCTGGTACGCTTTTGGCCAGATATCAGAAGACGTGGCACTCGTCGAGCAGAAACGTTCGTTATGCCAAGAAGTTCATTGTGCAGAATCTTCTCAACTTTCTAACTGGATATGCTAATAGCATTGGCTATTTGATTTATAAGTGATAAATCTCATATTTGTATTAATCTTGATGGTGAGTTGCTTCCAGAATATTAAATCGCTTTTGTAGTTGGATGGGTAGAGAAATGTTATATTGTTGACCAAAATCTGACGGAAATTAGAAGGGAGGCCCTGAATTTGTGTTATGTTTGAAAACGACACTTTGCTCGGAAAGATAATCATCTCGAAAGAAATGTTGTATAAGTAATAAACATTGATTTTAATCGTTACCGACAGTCTAAAGGACAAGAGTTTTTTGTATATAGCATTAGTTTTTCACAAAGTAGAGAAGTATTGTTCGTAAGTCGTAACCATAAAGGTTGATGTTTTTTTTTGTTTTGAGGAATCGTCAGCGATTTTTATTATCTGCAGGCGTTATAAATAGAATTTTTTTTATTGCTCTTAACCAGTGTGTACCTGATTACAGTAAAATAGTCTAGTAATATTTTTGTTGTGGATTATGTTAGCAATATTAGTTATCCGTAGAAATTTGATTTGCTCATCGATACTGTTTTTAATATTGTACGATTCTTTAGAGAATCTTGAAATTTTTTTGATACACGTTTGATAAGGATAAGGAGTTTTACGGCTGCTATCATTTGATAGTTAAGCGAACAGTTAAAACTGGTCGTTCATTTTTTATGCTGAAGTCAAAGTAAACATTATCAATAAGGGCAGATTTTTTTTCTATTGACGCGAAGTTGGTATGTAAATTGCCCCCAGAATTTTTTTTTATGTTAAAATCCCTTGCTTTGTGAATGACGATTTAGGAGGATTATCCACGTTTATTTCAAATTTTCGCATGGTTCGTGAGATTTAAGGAGGAATCAAGCTTTGTCATCAAAGTCAACTATCTTGATAATCGATTAGTATTCCGTTTACGGTTTTCTGATAATGAATTTGTCTTCGCCGGGGAGGCAATTCCTGTAGGACACTTGAATTCAGTTTAAATTCTGGTTTATTTCGCTGGGAATTAATGAATTTTATATTTATAAATTTATATTTTATTTTCTAGAGTTGTACATTTTCTTAAAACAGTCTTTGTAATTTCTGTGAAAGTTCTGATCAAATACTATATTGCTATTTAGTATTTAACTAGGTTGCTTAATTCTGAATGAAACATTAATTTTTATGTAGTTAAGTAGCATTTGTTTTGTTACAGAGTTCTTTAAGCAATATACATGTACTAGCGAGAGATTGCTGCCCTAATACGCAGATATCCGGGGCAAAAGTGCTGATAATTATTGATAGATACTGTGAAAGTTAAAAAAAAAAAGAAAAAAAAAAAAAAAAGCACAGCCAAAGATTGTATTTAGTTTGCAAAGAAGGATGGAAAACCTATCTATTAAAATTAAAAGTGTTGCCCCCCAACATAGGCTAGACATGCTTAAAAAGCAGTCATTAAGGTGGATTTTGAGAAGTTCATATAGCAAAACTCAAAAAGACACTTCAGACCGTATCTAAAATAGAAAATAAAAGTTTAAGAGTCATCTAGCATAATATCCTTCCAAAAGGAATAGGACAAATAAATATAAAAATGTTCAGTTACTTTTTCGTTAAATTTTCTTCTAAAATGGAAAATGATACAGTCTTTGAATGGCAGCCTTGTAACACTGAAGCGCTTCATATTAATCTTGAAATCAATCTAAGCAATTGCAGTTCGTTTGATATTACGACCTGATGATTGCACCGGTTTTTAGTCTTAACAGAAGAAAGAAACAAGGAAGAAAAAACCCCCAAAGAATCTCATTCTTATACGAACAAATCAGGTACGGTAAGACTGCATCCTAAGTGCATTCATGACCAAATTTTTTGGTGAACTTTCCTTTACATGCTTAGCTTAGCATTTTAGAAATCGCAACTGTTAATTGAGCATATCAGAACAGACTTATTTTAAGTGTAGTCAATAATTTTGACTTGATAAAATAAGGCTACATAGCTAGAGAGAGCGCTCTCCTCGAATTCTTCTTGCTAACTGAAGATCTTTCGGCATTATAGTCACCCGCTTAGCATGGATCGCACATAGGTTAGTGTCCTCGAATAGCCCAACCAAGTAAGCTTCACTGGCTTCTTGTAAAGCACCAATAGCGGCACTCTGAAACCGAAGATCAGACTTATAATCCTGGGCGATTTCTTTAACCAAATGTTGGAAGGGCCGCTTCCTAATCAACAATTCTGTAGATTTCTGGTAACGTCTGATTTCTCTTAGAGCAACTGTGCCGGGCCGATAACGATGTGGCTTCTTAAGTCCGACAGTTGAAGGTGGGTTTGGTTCTTTAATTGCGAGCGTTTTTCTGGGAGCTTTTCCGCCAGTAGACTTTCGAGCGGTTTGCTTGGTACGGGCCATGATGAAGAAAAGTTTTGAAAACTAAAAGTCGGCAGTTTAGAAAAGTTAAGTTATTTCAGAGCAACATGAGGCACGAATTTCTTCCTCATAAGCGAAACCAGTAAAAGTGATAAACTGGCGTGCAAAAAAAAAAATTGGTCTCTGCGTTTATTGTTAATTTAATTAACTTGTTTGAATGGAGAAAAATTTTTCTCATGTGAGTGAAGTAGTAGAGGGAGGAAGTGAAGCTAAACATGACGTCACTCCTAACAGCCAATCAAAATTTGTGTACAAGATTAGGCGCGGGAAGTATCAAATAAAATTTTAGTTGTAGCAGCCATTGTGTAGAACGGCAGGAAAAGATTCATTCTAACGAGTGTGATTTGCGAGAACGTATTGTACGTGAAAAAGAAAATGGCTAAGGTAAAAGTAAGATATGCTTTCTATTTCAATTAGCGATGTAGAACCAAGTTTATGTATGTCACGTTTTTTTTTTTTTTTATTTGTGAAAAAAATATGGCAAGGGTGATTCCGAGAGTAGAGTTTGATTGAAATTTCGTCAACTTTTTTTTTTCTTTACTCACTCTATTTTCTTTGCTGTGTAACTCCGCTGTTTAAGTCAACGTTTTTGGATTGTAGTCTATAGCCGTTGGCTAACAGTTTGTAAGTTCTGTATGTGTGGGTTTTAGTTTCGGGATCTCATGTTGACTTAATAAACTTCGATAGAAAGTTTTTCAGTGAACTAAAGGAAAAATTCCTGACAAACTCTTTCAATAATGAAAAAAAAACTCTTAGAGTAAGACGCTAAAAAACCCAGAACGTAAGCCTAAAAAAAAAAAAAAACTAGTGTTTAAAACTTCAATTTGAATTCGTTATTGAATGATTCTTGTTACAACACGATACATTCTTTGTATGAATCGTATTTTTGAGTTACCTCTTCCTTTATTAAATATTTTTACTTTTTTTTTTTTTTTTCTGTTTAGACCGTGAAACCTCTTTGCCAACGTCTGTCGATTGCTAGTTATTTGTAAATCTAACCTTTTTTCTTTTAAACTTAACCGAAAGCTGTACTCTGCGATTGCTGCGCATTTTTTAAGTATGTAAAAAAAAAAAAAAAAATTTGTAAATAATTCAAAGTACTTATTGAGTCCTGACAAGTATTACTCCTCATTAAATACACCAGGACTACGTTCTTTACTTCTATTTCGCTAATGTTTTTATCTGAAGTATTTCGATTCAAATTTTTAATCGGATATTAATTACTTCAGTTGATCATGGTGGTTTTTTTATTATAGGACTTACTTCGGTCGATTTGCAACTCCTATCTCATACGCACTGCGACATGGATAATTTTCTTAACTTTCATATTAAGCACTCCTGCCCCACCTTAATTGGCAGGGTCCAGGTTCAACAGTCTGATTAAGAAATCAAAAATGCTCGTACCACGTGAACTCTTAATGTAAAAAAAAAAAAAAAAAATGCAAATGATCTGGAGTGCTTAATTTATATTTTTTTTTTTTTTTTTTTTTTTAAATGGGTATCTAATCTTGTAACTATTGACAGTGACGTCAAACCTTTTGGTTAAAAAACACTCCTGATTTATCTGTAGAAATGTCACAATATATTTATTTTCTTAAGCCCCCCCCCGTAAAAAGCGTATTAAATGTTGACAGTCTTGTCGGCGAATGTTTTGTTTTCCTTAGCCGCTTCCCTTTTATTTTTACCGAAAGGGACTTAGCATCTATAAACAAGCTGGAAATTTCAGTTGGTTGACTATGCTGTTGCGAAATCCTCTCTCAATCTCGTGCTGGAATTTATTGAAGCTTTACTCCCATTGCTCGTAAATGTCTAAGTTAGAAAATTTCTAATCCTGGAATTTATTGATTGCTTACGATTACCTCTTTGATATGTTGATCCTTGTTTTTACATGAATTGACATGCTTCAAATTAACTGAACTTTGCTAAAGGTATTTTTTTTTTCTTTACACTGGTACTATAGATTTTAGTGCTGTTTAACTGGCTTAATACACGGTTTAATTGTGAGTATGGGGGTTAGTTTCTTAAAGCTTAACTTGTTCATTTACCTTGGACATTGAGTGATGGGACAGTAATACTAACCAAAACTGGTTTTTCGAAATTCAGTTTTATTTTTAAACATTCCAAATTTATCATGGTTAAGTGTTTAAGTATATAAAGGACGAATGCATTTTTTGGTTAAAGAATGCAAGTGGATCATGGCTGGAACTAGTTAATTATGTAATTACATGGTGAAGACCTAATTTTCTCCTGGTTCTTTGCTACACTTGTAAACTTCTGGGACCAAAAAAAACTTGCAGACTGAACTAGTTGAAATGGTTCATGTTAACTGCTGACTTGGTCATTAAAAGACACCAATTCCAAAATTGCATTCATTTTTTTTCTCTTTCTTACAGAATAAGAGAATTTCATTGCAGTCTCTGCAACCAAGTGCCACTGTTGGGTCTAATGAATTAGTAGGGAAGACAAGTTTGATTAACACTGTCAAGGTAATGCTTACTTCCTAACTTTTAACCAAACTTTTACTATTTTCATGACTCTATTTTAATGTTGTCTTTGGTTTTATTTCAGGGCTCAAAAAAAACTGGAAAAGCGCCCACTAAACAGCCAAAAAATGGTTCCCAAAAGTCAATAAACCACTTTTATGATAGTAAATCTGACAAGACCCGAGCTTCAGACAAAAGCCTGCTAGACAAAGAAAATAGGACACAAGACACAGAAAAAGAGGCTTATGAACTCATGTGCTCAGGTATTTAAGATCATAGCATTTTCTTAAACATATGCTGAAATTATTGTCTAGCATTGTGAATCTGAACAAATCTGCTGATAACGGCTGCATCAGTGCTCAAATAGAAGCATTAATGATAATTAAAATAAGTTTGCCTCATCTCCTATTCTCAACTGAAAGGAGAATGTTATGACTAAGTGACTTCTAGTTTTAAATATTGAAAGCAAGGAGATGCTTACCCCCATATTCTAGAATGGCAGAATAGTTAGCCAGTCAATGTGAAATATTTTTCTACATTGCAAGAGAACTGTCATTTGCGGGGGCAGGGTGAATGAGTGTAGTGATTTATGAAAACGCCCAATGAGCAGTTTCTCTTGAAAGAAACTGTCCCAACTTGGATTGGACTGACAGCTTTTCTCAGCACAAAATCTTTAATCCATCACCAAACTGCCATTCAGAATTGGTCCCATGAGTTGTCACATTCACCTCTCCCTCACTGGTCTGCTAAAGATGTCTTCTCTACCCTCATATTGAGCTGATGGTTAAAGTAGATAACCAGGCAGCAAGAAAAGATGAATTACTATAAACTTTCTGTATTTGCATTATTCATATCACCATTTGTTGTTCCAAGTAAACACAAACAGCTCCTGTGTGGGCTGCTAAGAACTGTCTTCTAAAATGGGCTCACCCTGAAGCATGCAAGACATGGCTTTCCATTAACGTGCATTGAATATAATCAGACTAAAAATGTTCAATTTTGTCTATCACTGCAATAAATGCATTCTGGTGAAACAATCGGTTGTTCCTCATCCAGGTAAGGGAGTACCTTGTAATTAATGTAATTCAACCATTACCACTTGGATAAAGGTGAACAAGCTTATATCTGGACAGCTTTGATCTTGCCCATGGAGTGGGCTTGCATACAGCAGGCATCAATGAGTGAAAGTTTGATTTGAAATGGTCAAATATCCCTGCTTTAAAAATTGTTCAATCTCTAACATATTGTGCCTTACTTTTCACTTGATCAGGCTATCTTGGGTAGTCCATTTTCATGACAATGGTCTGTCTAGGATTACTTTGGTCCAGTGCAACCTGTTGGTTAAGTGCTGCAAACTACTAATCCCATTTATTTTTTTTTGCTTTGTATAGCAACTTCACCATACACTTGGAGCACTGGGATATACTTCCTATTTAATTAAATTAAATATCCTTTTTAATAAAGGCATAAAAATTTCTACCTCCTGTGCAATGGATAAGTAAAGCCATTAGTTTTAGTTTTGACCTTTAATATTTCAAATCTATTATGGTGACCTGTTTCAGTTATGTAGGCTGGAAATTTAAATGTGGCTGACTGCAAAACAAAAGGGCACATATTCCGCATGACATGCTGAAGATGGGATACTTGAATTAAAAAAACAAGTCTGTTGCAGAGTCGCTATAAAAGTATTTTGATATGCAAATTACTGAACATCCTCTCCCAGCTGTCGACAAATGGAAAAAATGCTCAGCCGATAAAATCAGTTGGTGTTCTCAAATCTGAGAGAAATTCGGGTATTTTGGCTACTGTGTTTGTTGGAGGATGAGTTATTTTTCTGACTGGTTGCATGCCTTGTGATTGGTGAGATAGTACCTGTGAATTGAGTTTTCAGCATTTCTTCCTGCCCCCGATGTTCAAGTCTAAACTTAGTGATTTATTCTGTGATGTGGAAATAATCTGCGACAAACATTTCCTTTGTAATTCCAGATCACTTACATTCATAATTGAGTATCAGTGTAAAACTAAATGTTTTCTACCACATTTTTGAAGTTCTGCACTTGATTTTGTGGCTACATTCTTTCTAATCTAGCTTTCAGGAAAAGGGGTTAATAGTGACTCCTTGAACCCTCTACAAAATCCAAAGAAAAGGAATTGGAATTTAACAGATGTATTGCTATTAATATTCCAGTTAGCCTGTCCCCCCCCCCCCATAACCAAGTGTCGCTCTTGGTAGTTCAACAGTTTATATTATCAGAATCTCCTGATTCTTGTAACAGCAATATTTTGATTCCATATTTAATGAAGTTAGAACATTTTTTTTATAACTTGGTCATTGATGAATTCTAGCAATTGCCAAACAATGTTTTTACAGAAGATTTTTCATTTGCATTGCCCATCAAAATTAATAGAAATGACTTAAAAGTGAATTCTAAAAGTGTCACAGCAGCTTGTAATTGTTTTGATAGTTTTCACATTAAAATACAATTAAAAGAAACAGATTAAAGCAAAGCTCATTTCAAACTTTTACTCAGAGTTAATTTAAAAAAAAAAAAAATTAGTGTAATCTTTATGTTGAATAAGATTTTTATGTAAACTTTTAGGGAAGGTTTCTGAAAATTACTGGAAAGAATTTGCTGAACAGCGAAGGGAAGCTCTAGTTGAAGTAATGGAAGAGAACAAAAAGGTAAATTTTTCTTTTTAATTTGCAGCCTTTAAATTTGCTCTGGTTTCAGATTCTCTTATTTCAAGGGAGCTAACTATTTAGCATAACTAAATCTTAACATTGATTGGCTGACTGATTCTCTGCACATTGACTGTAATTTGATTTAATTTGAAATGGTGTCATCAATGTTTTCTACAATTTAATAGAATTATGTACAATGTAATATCACTTGGAGGGTGGTAGATCCACTTTGAGGTTGAAAAATCTTTTGTCATGAAACATTTGAAGTTCATCTACTTAATTTTTAAGTAACTAATTTCTAATTTTTAAATTTCAGCTTCATGAAGAAAACTTCCAACTAAAGAAAGAAAAAGAAAAGGTTTGTTTATAGTCTGATATTCAGTTAGTCTATAAAAATTGCAGGGTGTCTACTTTTAACATGATAGATCAAAAGTAAACTTTAAGATTAAGTACTCCCACGTGTTAGCAGTTTTTTACATGCATAGGCACTTGGAAAATAAAGCAATGAACAATTTCCCACTCATTACTATTGATTTAAACAAATAGTTTAACTTGTCTAAGCAGTAATTTATTTTATTTGAATAAATTTGTATATTTCAAAAGACAAATCCATATTGCTTAAATTTTATAATTCCAGTTGCTTTCAGATTAGTTTGATAGCATTTGAACTTGGTTAACATTTTCTTGTGAATGTATATAAACTGTAATTGTGGGCACCTCAAGGCGGTGTAATGGTTAGCAGGCTTGTCTCGCTAGAACAATTGCAACTGAACCATGAGTTCAATCCTCACTGGGTGCCCCATACTTTTGGCCTTGTGCCACATGTAAGCTAAGCTTACAAAATCGCTATAAACTCTAATTGTTAGATGCAATCGCCAGCTTTAACATTTACATCTGCATTTTTAATTTTTTCCAGCTATTAGCAGAAAATGAGGAACTGAAAGAAGAAAATGAAAGACTAACTCTCTATGTATCTAAAGCTGATGAACTCACAAAATTCCTTGAGGTGAAATTTTTTAACTTCTCTCCATTTTCATATTGACTAATTTGGATAAAATCTATAACTTTTTTCTTCTTCCAAATAAGCTCTGTAAATATCCAGCTGTTTTGTTTGAGCTTAATATTAGAATTCTTTTGTTCTTGGAATTCCCATCATACTTTAATATTAAAGTCTAATCCTTTTTCTTTCAGAGCATCACAGAAGATTCCAGCTAACACATTTGTACCTGAATCTCTGCTTGACACAGCAGCTTCATTTCTAACATTAGTTCATTCATTGTTTCTGACTTGTCATTGTAAATAGCCACCGTTTTAAAAAAATAAAATGTAAATATTTTAACACTGTACTTGACTGAATTTTTTTTCTCTCTCCACATAAGGTGTTTACTGTATCATTTAAATGTCAGTACCACTTAATATTGTCAAGGATTAAAATTATCAATTTTTAGTGGTAAAACCTTCCAAGTAACCTTAAAGGTAAAATTCACATAGAATGGGAAAATTATTCCTCCTTTTCATGCTTTTCTTTTTAATTTGAATAAAATGCATTCTCATGTTGCAGTCAAAATGTATCGCAATGAGTAACAACTGTTTACATATCCCATTTATGAAATTGATGGGGGGGTGCTCTGAAATATTGGAATATTAATGAGGAACTTAAATCCCACCATTTTAGAACTAAGTGAATCCCCCCACCCTATACATTTTGCATTCTTACACTGAGATGACTTCTCCAATCTACTTTCTCACTTGCTTTCAATTAAGAATTTAAAGAAAATGGATTTTTTTTTTTTTTTTTTTTTTTTTTTTTAACATTGGTTTATCTAAGTTCCATGGCAGCTTGACTTACACACACAAGAATATATATATATATTGTATAATATATTTCCCCACTAAGGTAGGAGTGCCGCTAGCATGCAAGGGGTTACAGAGGAAAGGATATGGAATAGATTAGGGCATGCTGCAGATGGATTCACATAGCATTTGAATAGTTGGAGATTATAGCTATCAGGGACTGGGCTTCCACAGGGAAGTGCAAGGCATGAAGCTGTTGGAGCAGAAGAGATAGCTACATTTGATAGTGAAAGGGTGGGGCTGATATGCCAACCTAGTGGCATGTTTAAATTAATGCAGTTTGGGAGCTAGTGAAAATTAGCTTGTTGGAGCACTTACTGTAAAAAGGTATCTAGAAAAGATGGAGGTGAGGGTGCGACTAAACAAGAAGCCTGATAGAACCTTGGGAACACCAGTGTTTGTGAGAAGGGAACTGGAGGAGAATCTGTTAAGGATGACCTTCATTACACGCTTTGACAGGAATGGTTGTATTAAGTCATGTATACACACTACAAAGATACAAAGTAACTCTTCACAGCACCATTCCCAAATTTTGGTGTGGGGGCAATGGTTAGTAAATCAGCCAGACATGATAGCTAGGTCAGTTCACCTCACTGAGGACTCTTTGCTTGTGGACTTGTACAAAACTAAGCTTAATGTCATCTGGTTTTAATTTGGATTAGAAATGAATTTGTACTACACATACCTACCTTTTTTGGAATGACTGATAAATGGTTCTAACAAAGACTTTAGGTGTGGAAAAAACAAAAAAACAAAAAAAAAAAACACTATTCAGGTGATAAGTGTTTGGGTCCTACAAATTAGGCACTCTTAATGGAGAAAAAACTGCTACTTAGAAATTGTTAGCATTTCTTCATGCCAATTGTCTACAATTTAGTCACTTTAATATTTTGGTATTAGAAATTCTTAGGCGGTAGCTAGGATTCTAAAGAAATTGCTCATGGCCAACATTCCAAATAACTAATGAAATTATTGGTTGACTTCTTAATTGAGCTTAGAGAAATCTTGTACCTGTCAAATCTGCATTATTGGCAAAAGAAAATGAAAAGTTGTATAAACTTAAACAGTTTAATATCTGTACCTGACAATAAGTTATACAAACTCGTATCCCTCCCTCTTGGTTTTGATATTGCTAAAGTGTTGAGTGTCAGTATATTTGCAATAGCCAAACAGTGGTTGCTGCTATATTATTTTTTTTTTTTTTTTTTCTTCTTATAAGCCTGGGCTGAGGCTTAATCTGTGTCTCCTAACAACTTCCAAGCACATGCTGCTGTTTCTTTTTGAGAATAGATCTCTTGATTTAGACTCCAGCTTGCAGTCCTCAATCTAAGAAAACCCGTGACTCACCGTTTGCAGAATGTCCTTGCATGGTATATAGTAGATAAATCTGTAGTCCTAAACATGGTTTCTCCAGAAACAGATCATCTCCATGTACATGAGACCCCCCATCTTTTACTTCTTGCACTCTGCTTTGTTGTGTGGGACATGTAAATATGTATATTTAACTTTGTGTGTCTTAGTGATATAAAAGTTTCTCTGAGAACAAAGCATGTTTGTCATTCCCTTTCCTTTCAGCTATTCTATCCCATCTGTGAAGTGTTGTTCTATCACGGATATAATAATGCCAACAATGGGAGAATGATTTTTCTTTTAAACCTCTTCCTATTATAAATCTATGAATCTGTTTCACTTTCCCTACTCAGCTGTGAATTAAATAGCAGAACAGTCTGAGCTCCCCAACCTTGAATGGTAGCCAGTTCAGGAGAAGGCAACAAACCATTCCACTCTCTTATCCAAGAAGTATTAAAGAGGAAAACCAGAGAGCATGGTAGTTTACATTCTGAAGAGTTGTAGCATTTAAGAAAATAAGTTAATTTTTCTTGTTATTATCGTCTTCATTTTATTATATAATGTGTATTTAGGCAGCAAATTCTCTTTTCAGTATGTCTGATTGAATAGATTGGACATTGTCTGCTAATTTTTAACAAATTTGTTCCTACTCACAAATAACCTTCTGTATATTGATTTTTAAAGGATGTGAGAAATGTGCTATAGCTGTTTAAATTTCTTTTATTTTAATTTCCAAAGTACTTTTGATCTTCTTCCAAGATCATCTTCAGGAGTGCAAGTAGTACAAAACTATGTTGTTCATTAGTACAAGTATTTATACAAATTTGTGAGTTATCAATTACCGTAATCTTTCCATTATGCTTTTAAATGCAAAACTGTTGACAATGTGCTGAGTGTTCATTAGAACATGAAAAAATTATCCATTATGGAATTTTATTTTATATATATATATTTTTTTTTTTTTTTTTTTTTTTTCCAATGTTACATGGTCATGTTTGTAGGCATTTCAAAACATTACTGCAGTATTCATACTTGATTCTGTTCAATGTGGGCTTTTTTTTTTTTTTTAATTGTATCTGTAATCTGAATTTGTTTTCATGGTGTAGGATAGTTGTGTTGTCAATTAATTTTTATATTGTGAACGTGGACATCTACAACATAATGTCTATAATTTATTCAATCATGTATATGTTAATATCCTGAAAGAAATTATAAGTTTTATAATGTTTGGCATTTGAGGTGCCTGTAACCATCTCTCACTTGCTGTTACTTGACCACAGTGGGAATACCATCTGAGGGTCCCAGTTATGGACAAAACTCCCCCCCCCAATAAAACACTTTAATAGCAAAATGATCAATATATCTTTAGTTGAACATGTGACGTCACGGGGCTGCCCCAGGCTCTGATGTCCTGGTCACGGCGCCAATTGTGACATCGTCCTCCGGTCGACTGTGTCGTTCTATCCTGATCTACCACGGCGCCAGTTGTGACGTCCCTAACGTCACCAATTGTGACGTCTTCGCCGCGGCGTCAGCTGTTCGCTCCTCGCTGCTCCAAACGTGACGTTCTAACCCTTTTATGATCCGGGTAGGAATCTGGTTATATTGATACCAGCCTTGCTGTTCCCAACCTGCTTCCAACGCCTGGTTACCAGGGTAACTGCACTGATCTCCAGTCTGCCTACCCACGTTGTGAATTGATCTTAGACAGACAAGATCAAAGGGGGGTTGGGGCCGTAATGCAAGCTGAGTTCAACGGGGGTGATAACACACAATTATGTATAAAAGAAAATAAAATGAAAACTCACAAAGTCCAAAGTATCAAAGAAAAAAAGGTAACAAACTTTTATGTCTATTTGTTCGGGTACATAGGACTATGTCTACTTTCCGACCCGTTCTGTGGATTGTGGCACGACACTTTAAGCTAGGCAAACTTTAAGGCTTCAAGTTGTCTGCTCTCTAAGAAATTTGTGTTTCGATGTGTCTTTGGACGAAAGTTAAAACTTATTTCTGTGGTCTGATTCTAAGTCACTCTTCAAACTACTTGTTCTTGGTTGAAGAAGAGTCCAAAGTGTCGTGAAATCTGGGTCAGCTATCTTGACGCGGTTTCAACACTGGGCGCTCATCTCTGCTTGTCGTCCAAGGCTCAAAACTTCTCGCCAGGGTCTGCGGTTGACTCAAACTTCTTCTCTCCGGCTTGGGTCGAGCAGACTGATTTCTGTCGGTTGGGGTTTCGCTTTTATTGACGCCGTCAAAACTGGGGTGGGTCTGTCGGTGCCAGGGGTTCTTTGATAATTCTAAATATGTATCCACCCTTCTTATTTCTGGTTAGGGATTTTGCATTCTTTTCCATTTTCGGTAACTCTCCTCTCACTCCCACTCCCTTACTGTGCCTCTGAGGGGTGTGTACCAACTTCCCCACTTCTTCGTATCGGTTCCTCACACTTACACTTCTGATAGAGTCGTCGACTGATTTTCTTCGTGTGTCACGTGACCGCTCTTGGCCAATGAGGTCCTGGTCGGGTATCTTTCCTCCTCCTTCGTGTGTCCCAATGACGTCTTAATCGGGCGTGAACAATCCGTGGCTTTGTTTTGGGAAAGAAATACCTTGCTTAAAAAACAAAAATATTAATTAAATCGCCCTTATCATGAGCGACCGAGATGACACTCTCGGCTTCTTAACATGTGGTATTTGTCAAGCAGTTTATTGCTAATTGGACATGACCCAAGAAAGGATTTCCTAGGCTAGCTGGCGTTTTCTGAAGCGAAATAAAAATATTTCATTTTCCTTTTGCTCGAAGGTCTGATAACAAAAATCTTTATTGCCGCGGAGAATCCGGTCGGTGAGAATGCCTGTGTGGGATTTTAATTTTTCATATCTAATTACGGTTCTGTAGCCACACCTGTGTTTTGTCAAAACATTAACATTTTCAAATGGACTTTACTTTGGCGAACATATCTTGACAACACAATTCCATTATCTCTATTTTAGTCACTTATCGAAATAAAAA